GCATTGTAAAGCTTCCACCTTAGGACTGGATCACGTATAATTTTTCCTGTCCCACCCTCCTCCCCCACCCTCATTTGCCTCAGTAGCTGCACATTACAGTCCTGGCACCTCTGAATGAAGCAGGAGAGCTGGCTGGGCTAATTCTGGCCCAACTCAAAGGGCAGACTGGTGCTGAGGCAAAAGCTGACTCCATTCCCTTCCACAGTCTTGTCTGTCACAGCAATGGCTGGCCTGGGGGAAGGGAGACAGACCCTGCCGACTCCCAGCCTTTACCAGGTCAGAGCTGGCCCCTCCACGGCTTATTACTGGAGAGCTCCCCGAGCCGGATGCTTTAGGCTGCTCATCTGATCCTTAATTCCAACTGGCCACTGTGCATTAGGACCTAGTACAAGTTCTATTGGAGCCTTCAGATTTAGAGATAGGTTGTTTACAGCCTTAGGACCAGTGTTAGTGGCTCACGCCTGTCATCCTAGCTACTCAGGAGGCTGAGATCTGAGGATTGCAGTTTAAAGCCAACCAGGGCAGGAAAAGCCTTTTATCTCCAATCAACCACCAAAAAGCTGGAAGTCAAGCTGTGGTTCAAGTGGTACAGTGCCAGCCTTGAGAAGAAAATAAAAGCTCAGGGACAGCCCCCAGGCCCTGAGTTCAAGCCTTAATATACACATCACACACACACACACACACACACACACACACACACACACACACACACACACACACACACACACACACACACACACACACACACACACACACCCCTTCCAATAGCCACTCCCCGCGGCCGGCCTGCGATGACGTAATCGTCTCTCTGGGGCGGGAGCACAGCGCCACCTGGAGGCCGATCGCCCCACGCTCTCCCGCGGCTCCAGGAGCGGCGCCCGCGGACCCCGAGCAAGCCAGGGGTGAAGCCGGGGAAGGGGAGGCAACGAGGGGCGGACGCGGTGGAGCCCCCGACTGTCTGCGGGGCGCCTCCCCGCGGCGCCGTCGCCGCGCAGCGGACGCGTGCGGTCAGCACGGAGCTGCAGGAACCCGCACCGCCGCCCCCTGCACCGACAGGTCCAGCTTTCTCTTTCTGAAACCTTGGGAGAAAGAGCTAGGAGGGATCTACTTGATCCAGCGCCCCGTGTTTTAGGGAGGGTGCGGGATACAAAGTCCAAAGAAAGCCACTGACGTGTCCAGGTTGATGAATCTGGGTTGAAATCCAGATCTGACTACAGGTGCATCCCACTGATGGAGGGAGAAAAGACTTCTGACCCCACGGCCTCTACCCGCGGGCCCCGCTGGGACACAGAGAGGGGGTTCTCCTACCTCCCCACGTGGCCGAGCTCCCCTCCTCCCGACCCCAACCCCGCAGGAGATGCCTGGGCTACAGGCACTGGCTAGGGGCTTATGGGCACTGCCTTTGCTATGTGCACTGGCTGCGGGCACCGGCTATGGGCAGGCCCTGGGGGCTGCTGAGACGCTGGTCCCATTCTCTGTCACAGGCATCTGACACGCAGGTGAGTGATCTGAGAGGCTCCAGGCTCCAAGCCCTCTTTTTAAGAGATCTGGGGGCTGGGAAGGTGGCTCAGTGGTAGAGTACTTGCCTTGCATGCATCAGGCCCTGGGTTCGATTCCTCAGCACCACATAAGCAGAAAAAAGCCAGAAGTGGTGCAGTGGCTCAAGTGGTAGAGCGCTAGCCTTGAGCTGAAGAGCTGAGGGACAGTGCCCAGGCCCAGAGTTCAGGCCCCACAACAGACAAAAAAATAAAAAGATCTGGCTGGACTTGTGCCTATAATCCTAGCTACTCAGGAGGCTGAGAGCTGAGGATTCAAAGGGTTCAAAGCCAGCCATATGTCTAATTAACCAGCAAAAAGCTGGAGGTGTGACTCACGTGGTAGAGCACCAGCCTTAAATGAAAAAGCCAAGTAGAGCAAGAGGCCCTGAGTTCAAGCCCCGGAACTTGTAGCAAGCAAGCAAAATCTAGATAAGGATCACTCACCGAAATGCTTCAGGAAAAATAGAACCACCTGAAGAGCTCCAGGAAAAATAGAACCACCTGGAGAGCCCCACTCTGCTCCTGGTGTGGGAGGTCCTCCATCTAAGGTGAGCCCAGAAGCCAGGCTGCTGGGTACCCTGTCCATCTGCCCATTTTCCTGAGCACCTTCTCCTAACAGTGAACTTCCTCCTCGAGCCTCTGCCTTCATCCCACCTTCCCTCCTTGCCCTGCTGTGTCTTCTTTTCCTTTCCCAGGTATTTTTCTTTTATTCCTCTCCTGACTCCCTTCCCACCTCCCAGTGAATCCCCCCACCTTTTATTTTTTTGCTAACCCTTGCCAGCAGCCTCAGTGTTTTTTTTCCTCTGGTCCCCATGGTACTGGAGTTTGAACTCAGGGTCTCATGCTTGCTAGACAGGCACTCTACCATGCCCCTTGTGCCCAAACCCCTATCATCTACCTGAGCAGGCCCATGTTTTATTTTGCTGTGTGTGTGTGTGTGTGTGTGTGCGTGTGTGCGCGCGCGCGCGCGCGCTCTGGTGGTGCTGGGGATCAGACCCAAGCCCTTAGCCTCTCACTAGACAAGAGCTCTGTAGGATCATGTCTTTGTGTAAAAATGCTCCTAAGCCAGGCACTGATGGGTCACACCTGTAATCCTAGCAACTCAGGAGGTTGAGATCTGAGGATCATGGTTTGAAGTCAGCCCAGGCAAGAAAGTCTGTGAGACTCTTATCTCCAATTAATCATGTAAAAACTTGAAGTGGCACTGTGGCTCAAAGTGGTAGAGTGTTAGCCTTGAGCCAAAAAGCTCAGAGGCAGCACCCAGACCCTGAGTTCAAGCCCAGGACCAAAAAAAAAAAAAAAAAAAAAAGCCCCTCTTCTCCACGTAGGCCGCTTAGACCAACCCTTGAGGCTGCTTAGTGACCCCTTCACTCTAGCAAGAACCTATTAACACCATTGAGGTACCCTAGATCTTGGGGGCTGCTGTCTCTATACAGGTCTCTTTCTCATTCTGGGACACTGGAATGGTTATCAGGGGTACTAGTCAAGAGGAAGGAGCAGAGATAGCTCAGGGGACCCCTAGGTCTTGCTGATCTTTCCTTCACCCCATGATTTGGCACATGTGATGAGCCAGGAGGAAATTGCTGTGCTGGGGAGAGGAAGGAGAGTTGCTCTGATTTAAGGGACTCAGTGTGGGACAGGATCACAAGTATGTGGAAGCCCCACTGTCGAGGCTTCCCTTTTTTCTTGTATTTTTATTTTCAGTGCTTTGCAGCGTGGAGGAGAAACAGGAACCACTCTGTGCCCTTCCACCTCCAGCTCTGGCCAGGAAACTTACCTCCTTACCCTAGACTACCAAGCTGCTTGTCTTTGGCCCAAGTTGTTGACTTGGAAATAGTTCTGATGGTCAGGGCCTTGCACACATTCCTGTCATTTCTTTGGGAAGTTCAGAGACTTCATCCTGTACATTTCTGTTTCCCAGCTTCAAGACAGATGAGGCTGAGCTCCAGGCCTCTAGAGACCTGGTAGCCCCTCCAGAAGCGTGGCACCAGCTCCCAGCTCTTGTCCCGATTTGGAGCTGCAGCCCCAGGGGTGGCCCTATCAGCTGTCCAGCTGTCCTTCCCTATCTGGGTCAGATCCTGGGGCAAACTCCCAGGCCCCTTGAACAGCCCACAGGAAGGGGGAAGCTGGGAAGCTGGACAAACCTCTGCCCAAGGAAACCTGTGGCCCTGGCTCCAAAGTGCTGGCCTGGAGCTCCTGCCTTCCAGGTTGTGTGACAAGAGGTGACCCTCCAGAGGGTGTAGTGGGTGATAGAGAGTTGGGGGGGCGGGGGGGGGATGGTTAGCACATTGGCCCTATCCAGAACCCAGCTGCTTGCAAGAACCCAGAGCAAGCACAGGGAGGGAGAGCAGAGCCCAAGGCTGCACTGGAGTGGCATCGTGTGTGTGTGCGCACGCGCGTGTGCGTGTAAAAGGAGGGCCCAACTCTGGGAACTAGGAGGAGGGTCTTGGGTCTGCCCATTTACCCTAAACAGCCATCAACTGGGCTGAGGGATGTTAAGCTCAGTGCTTGTTCAGCATGCACAAGGCCCTGGGTCTGATCCTCAGAATGACAAAAAGCAAAACCTATAAAATTCCCTTCCCTGGATCTGTCACTGAGGACCGGGTCCCCAGCAAGCACAGCAAGGCACAGTGACCATACAGCTTCGGGCACCTGTGGCTGTTCCCAGACTTTTTTTTTTTTTTTTTTAATGTGATGGTTCTGGGGCCTGAACTCAAGGCTGAGCCGCACCTCCATTTCCAGCTTTCTACTGGTTAACTGGAGACAAGAATCTTTTGAGTTTTGTCTGCTGGAGCTGGCTTCAAACCATGATTCTCAGATCTCGGCCTCCTGAGTATGGGAATGACAGGCATGAGCCACTAGATTGTCTCTCTAAGCAGCCATTGTGTCTCCTACTGCCTAGCTCTGTGGGAGGCTTTGGCATTGATGTCTTTAGGATCCCCTGATGACCAAACAGCTGACAGAAGCACGTTGGCTCCTGTCTCTTGGATAGCTGTGTCCCTCCATTCAGCCCCTAGTCCCAGGACCTCTGCTGAGGAAGGAAAGACAGGACTCATAGTTCCTTGACATCATAGTTCACACTCTTGACTGCCTCGAGGTACATCCATGTTCTATCCATGAGGACACAAGCTTGAAGGTCTTCAGAGACATGCTCAAGGTCAGAGGGATTTGGACAGAAGTGTACTAGGTTAGGGAGGTGCCTTTGGACAGTTGTGGGGCCTCAGATGGCTCAGGGCGTGACCCGAGGATGGATTCTGTAATAAGTACCCCCTTGGCAGCTGCTGACACTCCACCTTGCAAGCTTTTGGGAACCAGCCAAGACCCCTAGGCCAGGCGTAGGGCTGGAGGTGGAGCTGAGCTCGCATGCGGGTGTCACCCTTCCCTACTCTGGGATGCGGGGTGGGCACAAGGCTGGGCGGTGCTACTGGAAGGCATGGATGGGCTCAGTGACATCACCAACACTTTACATCTTTACAGCTTTAATCCAGCAGGCCGGAGCGCTGGCCAGTGGGGCAGCCAGAGGGGAGAGTCACGGCCAGCTGTTGAGAGAGCCTCCCCCTCCCCCACCCCAGCCCAAAGCAGGCAGATGGGAGGGGCCCTGACTTTCTGATTGAAATCCTTGGGAGCAAAGGGACTTTTTGTTTTTGTTTTTTAAAGCCAGGGCTGTCATCCATCTCCCTAGCTCCCCAATAAAAATAGCCCAGTGACCCCAAGCCCCTCCCCACACGCCTGATGTAAATAGTCTAGCTCCAGCTCAGCTCCCATTCCTCTTCTAGGGGGCTCTACCTTCAGCCTTGATCTGGGGGCCCAGTGACTAAAACACCCCTGCCCATCCCCAAGGCTGGATGCAGGAACAAGACCGGGCATCCCCAAAGCTGCCATCACTGAAGGAACAGTAGAGCCACAGGCGATTCTTCAGGGTCCTGGATAGGAGGGCTGTGGTGGCATGTAGGGGGGAGGAGCTGAAAGCCAAAGAGACAGGGTCAGTGGACCCAGGAGGACAAGAGGCAAGCCCGGCCGTTCCCCCTCCCTCCCAGCCCCAGAATGTATAGGATCACAGGAAGAGCTGGCCCGAGGGCTTCCTGCAGGAGCGTAGAAGACAGAGGATCAAGATCGTGCGGTGAGAGTGGAGGCCAAGCTGGAGTGAGGGGTGCCGATTGCTCACTTACCTGCAGGGTTGTAGATCGGGGGCCCAGTGGGGTAGAGTGGGTACTGGGGCGCAGGACCACTAGGTGGGTACATGAAGCCAGGCTGCGGTGGGGCAGGGCCAGCTTTGGGGTCCGGGGGGTATGGGTATACTGGCTGCATAGGGATACCCGTCATTGGAATCTCCTGGCCTAGGTGAGGGACAAAGATCAACATTCAGAGGCAGACTTGCCATGGGAAACGCCGCCTGTCCCGGAAACCAAGGGAGGCACCCTGGCAGCCCTCAGGCAGGCTCCTTGCTGGCCACCTGCAGCCTTTGCCTCCCAAACGCTGTTTGGCAGAGTTGTTAGAGTTGGGTGGCTGGTCCATCTGTGCCTAGTAAGTTTGCCTCTCTCAGGACTCTGGAAGCAAACCGTGCAGCCTGGGGGTTGCCCTACTTGGGCAAGGAGTACGAGACGCTAGGATCTGGTCACCCAGCCCAGCTGCCACCAACGAAGCCCTCCTCCAGCCCTTCTGTTCCACACTGCTCTCTTTCCTGTAGGGTGCTGATGACCTCAAGCTCATGTGCAATCACATGCAATGTGCAGATACACAATCCTCAGTACACACAGATGCACACCTAATGTTCACTACTATAGACCACGCCTGCATGTGTGTAAGCCTCCCGCACAATAGCACCATTGACAGACTGAGCCCGCCCCCCGTGTAGCACTGAATACTGCCGTGTGTGTACATACTTGCACACACAGGGCCCAATATTTATGAGCATACAAGAATATCTCTGGGTTTACACGCATGCATAGTCACACACTACTATACTTGACTTCTCTAGTGCCCACCCTAGGGCTCTGCCCGGCTCAGGCTCATCTTGTTCAGTGCGTGCTCACCTTCAAATGGGCTCTGGAGCTGTTGGCGGCGTCGGTACAGGTAGCAACAGGAGCAGAGGAAGCAGCAGATGGTGGTGGCAACCACGGCCACAAAGAGGATCACGGCCGAGGCGATGCCGGCTATGGTCTTGGGACTTTGGATAAAGAACAGGTCCTCTCACTTTCCCGGCACTCATTGTGGTGGCGTCCACTCTGGGCCAGCAGGGGGCCACCGAACGCTAGGATTCGGGATTCCTTGTGGGATTCAACCCAGTCCCAGGAGAGGAGTTGGGACCTCCACTTCCCAGAAGGCTATACTGCCCCGCTAGCTAGTGTGGGGCATGCTGGGATTTGTAGTAGTGTGTTCTTCTACTATTGTTTTCATACTTACAACTTGATTAATTAGGTTAACATGTTAGCCCTAAAGGAGCCTTAGAAACAAGCGTACTTAACTCCAGACACTAACCTCTTAATACTTTTATATGTTCAGACTTCGAAAAGAAGTCTGAAACCCACTAATTTAGGGATGGAGTTCAGTGGTAGAGCATTTATTTATCTAGCATGGGTGAGGCTCTGGATGAAGATGAAGATGACGATGGTGGGATGATGATGATGATGATGATGATAATCCAGTCCTTTTGACAACCCCCTTATTTGGGGAAGAGGAAGCAATGATTCTGCGGGACGACTGTCTTCCCCAGACCACACTTCCAGACCTAGGAGTCAACCCCGTACATCTCCTGCCTTCTTCCCCGTGCTTCTTCCCACGTGAGAGGGCGAACGGGGTTAACACCCCAGCCCACAGCGGACCAAGGAGACGGGCTCAGCCCAGCCGGCCCGAGCCTATCCTTCAGGGGAGCTCCCAGGCCGGCGCCCGGGCCTCCCCGTTCCGCCCCCGGGCTAGGGTCTGGCGACCCCCCTCGGCCACGCAGGCGCAGATGGACAGCGGAGAGGGGCGGAGGAGGGGGAGGCGGCGCCCACCTGAAGGCCAGGCAGTGCTTCTGCTGCCTCTCGGTGATGAGCAAGGTCAGGTCCCGGCAGCAGTACCGCTGGTAGCAGGTCCCGCAGCAGAAGGTGAAGAACTCGCAGTCGAAGCCCGGATGCCAGGAGCCATTCCGGTCCAGGTACCACAGGCAGTCCTCGCCGGCCAGCGCTGCGGGCAGGGCGGGCGAGGGCGCCGCGGGCCCGGGTCACCCCGCGCTGCCCCCGCTCGGCCGCCCGAGCCCCCGGCTCCCACAAGGCCGGGCGCGGACTTGTTCCATTCCACCAAGGGTCTCAGCCCCCCCCCCCCCCCAAGCCCCAGAAACCTCGACCCGCGCCCGGGGTCAGCCTCCCTCGGCCCGGCCTCCCGCGCTCTTCCCTCCGGATGGCCGCGGGCCACGCGTGGGGCTCCCGGGGGTCCGATCCCCCCTCCTCCTTCCCGCCCGGTGCCTCACCCCGCATCCCTTACCCAGGGGGACCCCCAGCGCCAGGAGGGCGATCGCGGCCAGCGGCGCGGCCCCGCGGAGCCCCGAGGGCGGCATGGCGGGGGTCGGGCGCGGCCGGGCCGGAGGCTCGGGCGGGCGGGCGGGCGCTGCGGCGGGGCCCAGCCCGCGGCCAGGCTGCGGCTCCTCTGCCGCCTCCTCGGGGCGGGACTTCGCGGCCCGCCCGCGCCGCCCCTGCCGCCCCGCCCAGGACCCGCCCTCCGCGACGCCCACCCGCCGCGGGGCGCCCCTCACCGGGCCCGGCGCTGCCCGGCTCCCCCGTCCCCGCCGCCCGGGCTGGCGTCCGCGCCACCCTGGGCACGGCGGGCGGCTGCGGCCGGGAAGCCTGGCCGTGCCCCCGGGGCCGCTCCTCGCCGGGGCCCAATCATTATCGTGGGTCCCTGAAGCCCCGCTCCGAACGTCCAGCACGTGGGCCAACCCTGGAGGGGCGGGCGGGGCTGGGCCTCCCCCCGCGGGCGCGCGCGAGGCGGGGCCTCCTCTCCTCCGCCCCTGTGTCCAGCCCGGGACGCCCTGAGGGGGGAAGGGGGGGAGGGCAGAGAGGCCGGGAGCCGCCCCGCCCCCCTTCCTGGAACACAGGCGCCCATTGAGAGGCGGCTCAGAGCCGCTTTGTCCCCAGCGGTGGCCGCAGGCCTGGCCCCTGGCAGCTGCACGGCTCCCGGGCCGGACCCTTCCCCCGCCGGCGGCGGCGGCGGCTCCGCGCCCGGCCCCGCAGCAGCCCGGGCGGGCCGCCCCGCCCCCGGGGGGGGGGGTCTTTCCCCAGTGGGAACGCTCCACAGTAAGACCCGTTTGTTCACGAAGCAAGCCGGCCACCCGAGCACCGGGGAGGCCCGGGTGGCGAATGGGGGGCACAGGGGTGCAGGGCGGAGGACGTTCATCAGTCCTGTTACACACTCGCGTGCGGTGCCCGCGCCCCGCGCCCCCACCATGCCTAGGTGCTGAGATCAGCAACAGCCACGGCCACCTTCGCGTTTCAGGCCATTTACAAGGTACTTTCACACCTGGACCTCAACCTTGTCGCCATCTTTCCACTCCATAAGCTAAACCAGATTGGCAAGCATTATTCCCAGAAGCTAGGACTCAAGAAGGTTAAGGGACTTTGCTCAAGGAAGTAATAGCCAGTAGACGGTAGTGGTAGGGGAAGACCTAAGTCTTCCAGCTCAGCCTGGATCCCTACTTCCAACAGTAGACAGCTTTTCTGGTTGTTCTGAGGTGAGGGCAGGTGGCTCATGCCTGTCACCCTAGCTGCTCAGGAGCTGAGATCTGAGCATCAAGGCTTACATAAGCCAGCCTGGGCAGGAAAGTCCAGGAGACTCTCCTCTCCAATTAACTGCCCCCCCCCCCCAGCTGAAAATAGAAGTGTGGCTCAAGTGGCACAGCACCAGCCTTGAGTAAAAATGCTAATGCTCTGAGTTCAAGCCCCAACACACACACACACACACACACACACACACAAAACCTAACAGTATATAAAGGATTTAGGAAAGGAAGGCAGAAAGAGGAGCAGCCACCCAGGAAAGCTGAAATAAGGGGGGTGGGAAGCTCCTGCCTGGGCCCTGGACAGATGCTGCAATGGGCCAGCAGGAGTGCACACTCACACAGGACATGGCCATAAATGCCCAAGCCAGGAACTGTCAGGCACGCCTCTCTGTTCACTGCTACCTACAGCCTGCCCAGTGCCATCTGTCTCTTTCCTACACCACGAGCTCCATGAGCACAGAACCCGTGGGTGTGTTCACTGTGTCACCCAGTGCTGGCTGTAGGTGCTCAGTCATTGTAGGTGGACCAGCCCTCAGGGGAAGATCTGTCTCCTGTCTAAGGTGATGCTTTCCTTGACCCCATCTGGTCTGTCTCTGCAGTGTCTTTTCTCTTTGATATCTTTAGTTTCTTCTCACTAGCTTCTTTTTCCTAGGAAAAAGAAACCTCTAGTCTCTTAGAAAAATAAAATGAAGTCAGGTGCCAGTAGCTCATCCCTATAATTCTAGCTACTCAGGAAGCTGAGATCAGAAGAAGGATCACCATTCAAGGCTAGCCCAGATAGAAAAGTCCACTAGACTCCATCTCTAAAGTAACCAGCAAGAAGCAGGGAAGGAGTCATGGCGCAAGCAGTTAGTATTGACCTAGCAAGCATTTAGGCTGAGTTCAAACTTTATTACCACCAAAAGAGTGGAAGGGGGGAGGGACAGAGGGAAGGAGGGAAGGCGGGAGAGAAAGAGGAAGAGGGAGGGAGGTTGTGAGGGAGAGAGACAGAGAGAGAAAGAAAGAGAGAGAGAAACTACCAAAAACAAACCCTACAAACCACATGCTTCCTGAAAGTCCCTTTCTAGTTATTTTTCTGCTTTTCTCCCTTTTTCCCCCAATATTCCTCAAAGGTTATGTTCCAGGCTCACAATGACACCCAACTCCCACCAAAATCCTAGGAGAAAATTTCAGCCCATGGATAAGAAATGCTTAGTTTGGATCAAAGGGTGAGGGAGGGCTTGGGGTGGGGATGGAGAGAAGAACTGGCAGGTCTTAGCAGGGGATGCTGGAGCCTAGTAATGAGGAGTTGGGATGAGCAGCTATGTTACTATAATGGACTTGAGTCCCAAGAGACACCAAGGAAAGGGATAAGGCAGGGACAATGAGAGGACTGGAAGAGATTGTAGAAGAGATTGGGGTCTGTAGGGATCCTATAAATCTCCAAGTGGGGCATACAGGTATATTTCTTCTCACCAAGATAGTGTCTCAGGTCCCAGAGAAGAGAAGAGATCCTTTCACGGAAAAGAAGGGGGACAGAGACTAATCTCCTATCAGATGAGACAAAGCATGGGCGTGGCCAGCAGGAGGACCCGCCCAGGGTGCCTGGAATAGGATCATCAGGAGAAGGTAGACAAATGAGTTCATCCCCCTGTGCCCTGAGGTGCAAGAAGTTAATTCTCCCTGGTCTCACACCTGGGAAATTGGGCTTTTGTGGCTTCAAAGCCCAGGCCATTGGGATCCCCAAGGCCATCTTTAAATATCTGAACTGCTTATGGCCAGGTCTGGAATATTAAAAACAAACATACCCAGGACCATTGGTGCCCAACCTTTTCTTAGCAGAAGTCTGCATGGCTTGGGAAGGTAGGCACCATGTCTGGGGTGGGGGAAGCTGGGAGGAGGGGGAGAGCTGTGACCTGCCTGTGACTTGGCTGGGATCCTGGGCCATGGTCTGAGTTTTCTGGGGTGCATGACCAATCTAGGGTGTCTCCAATCCTTTCCATGTGCCACCTAATTGCAGAGCCTGACAACTGGCCCCTAGTTCTGAGACCTTCTTGATCTTCCAGGATGGGGGCGGAGGTGGGGGGGGGGCAGGTGCTTGGCAATTCCTTACCCTTGCTTGCCAGGCTACGGAGGCCTCTGTATTCTTTCTGCCTGGCTGTGGTGGCTTCAGCTGAGCCACTCCGATTTTTTTTTTTAATCTCTTTTCCTAATTCCTGCTTCTGGTCAGTCGGTGCCCTCTCCACAAGAGTGTTCCAGACTACCTGCCCTCCTCCACCTGGCCTGACCTCCGCCAACCCAGCCCTGCACCCAGGTAATTACACCTTCCTTCTCTCCACAGGACCCTGCAGTATTAGCTGTGATGGTCTCACCCTCCGCAGAGAGCCTTGAGCAGATTACCCTTGAGGTCCACAGCTGGAAGAGCAAGGCTCAGGAGACTACCAGGAACGTGGCCAAGGTCTCCTGGTTGAGCAGGGGATGGAAGGAACCCAGATCTCTTTGCTCTGACTGCCCCACAACACACAAATATCTTTGGTGTCTAATCTTTCTCGCTATGAAAGACGTCTTCTGAGCTTGTCCTTTACGGGAGGCACCTGAGGGGTGAAGGATAGATGAAGGGCAGTGAGATCACCCTCCCTACCACCCAGCTACTTGTGGGCAGAGGCCCTCTTCCACAAGGGAGGGGAATGGCAAGCTCCAGCTCCTTTGCAGGGTTCCTGGTGATCTGGGTGGAGCATAGGCAGCTGGGACCTCAGGGCAGAGGGGCTGGCCTGGTCCATTTGGGTGGCCTATGTGAGCCCCTTCTCAGGCACATCCTGGTGGCTATGGGAGCAGTCAGAGGCTGCCAAGATCTGGCCTCAGGGGCCTGACCCAGGGGGTGGGGCAGATGGGGGAGGGCCGGAGATGGGGAGGGCTAGGTTGTCTTTAAATGGCACCTTACTCAGCCCACAGCTCTGCCAGCTGGGCAGGGTGGGAGCAGACAAGTTATTTTGAGATCTGCGGGTGAGAGAGAGGAAGGCTCTGTTTACAGCTCTTCCCTGTCTGTCCCCACTCCTACTCCTGGAAAGGGCTTAAGACGATTGGGGAGCCCTTTCCACCCTGGGTGCGGGGGGGGGGGGGTCTGTTTCTAGCTACATGCACAAGCGGGAACTGGTGAATATGCAAGACACTTGGGGTCTTCCTTGGCAATACCAACAAGGCAGGTTTAGCTGTGAGAATTCCATTCCATTTGCAATTAGACCAACAACTAAAATGAATACTCATTATGAGCTTTCATTGCACTGGTTTTGTGTTCACTTGAATCCTCACGATCACTCCATGAAAGAGATACTCATGTACTTGCTCTGTGGATTAAAAAGTAGAGGAAGAATATGTAAGTACCACAATCACCAAGTTGGTTAAGTGGTAGAATCAGGATTTGAACCCAGGCTGGCTCCAGAGATCACATTCTGGGTTGGTTTTTTTTTTTTTTTGTCAGTCATAGGGCTTGAACTCTAAGTTTGGGCGCTGTCCTTGCGCTCTTCAGCTCAAGGCGAGCGCTCTACCACTTGAGCTACAGTGCCACTTCCAGTTTTCTGGTGGCTTATTGGAGATAGGAGTCTCATGGTCTTTCCTGCCCAGGCTGGCTTTGAACCATGGTCCTCAGATCTCAGCCTCCTGAGTAGCTAGGATTACAGGCGTGAGCCACCAGTGCCCGGCCCAGAGCCCACATTCTGAACCACTAAATAAGTACAGGGCCTGCTCTGCCATTTCCTGGTTCAGTGAGCTTGGTGAATCCTCTGGTTTAGTTTTCTCATGTGGAAATGAACTGCAGTTCTGCCAAACCCACTGGAATTCCTGAGAGTGAGCTAGCAGAGGCACTGGTCCATTCTGTCTCCCTGCTTAGGAGAGTACTTCCTTAAGGTCATCTGACAGCCTGGCCTGGGCCTGTGACCTTGCTAGTGAACCTCTGGGTCAGGGATGAGGAAGGAGTTGGTAAGGGAAATGAATTTGCAACCATCAAGTGTGGAAGTAATCGTTTTTAGTTGAAACAGATCGGACCAGATCTATCCTACTGGGGGAGGGATTCCATTTGTTGTTACTATGACTTACGCCCCCTTCCAGCATCATAAGAGGCCCAGGTCTCCAGGTGCCAGTCCACTGTCCATTCAGTTCAGCATCTATGCTCACCAGCCTGCAAAGCTAGCTGTGTGGGCCTGTGTGATCCAGGCTGACTCCATGCAACCTTCTTCCTAGAAAGCTCCCTCATGACCATAAGCTCTGCCAGAACCAGGGCAGGGACAAACCACACATAGGCCACGGACTTCTCTGCCTACTTACTTGTCTGGGGGAACCACCCCTCCCCCCCAACCAATATGTCACACAGAAAAATCACAGCAAGACACCTTAGCAAGGGGCAGGCAGAGCTGGGCCATCATCTGTTTCTCTGTGTCACCAGGCAGGGCTGCATCCCTGCCTCACAGAGCTGTCCTCCCAAAAGCTCATGCAAACCCTGATTTAGCATTATCAGCATCTGTGAAACAACTAAGTCACACTCAAACCCAGAGTCAGAGGCTGAGCCAAATGTAGCCCCCTTCCCTGGGGGTGGGAGGCGGGGGGAACCCCTCAAGCCAGCGCCAATGCCAGCCACCAGCCAGCGAGGGCCTCATCAGTCACCATTTGGCAGATGAGAAAACCAAGGCTTGAAGCTCTCCCTTACCAGCCATGAAGGCGTAACAAGTCTGGACTGAGTGGACTTCCTGGGCCTTCTGGTCAGGCCCCTCATTGTTTTTCTTCCTTGTCTGCCACAAAATCATATATTCCACACAGGTAAAGAGAACTTAGTTCTAACTTGCAATTTTAGGAAACCAGCAGTAATGCTACCCTTTCATCCCCTCCTGTAAAAAGTCACAATTGGAAAGCCAGAATTCTCATCAGAGATGGCTGCTGACCGGCACTGTCAGGGAAGACAACCACTTCACAGCTTGGAATTCTATTTACAATTACTGTAGGCTGTGCTGTGACTGGGACTGGAATCCTGGTGCAATACCATTGTCACAGTTCCAATCACTGTGACAATCTCTATGACCCTTCTGATGGCCAGCACCTGGTTGGGCAAGTCATTCCCCGGGAAGAACTCATTGCACTTTTTTTTTTTTTGTCGGTCCCGGGGCTTGAACTCTGGGCCTGGGCGCTGTCCCTCAGCTCTTCAGCTCAAGGCCAGTGTTCTACCACTTGAGCCATAGTGCCACTTCCGGCTTTTTCTGCTTATGTGATGCTGAGGAATCGAACTCAGGGCCTCATGCATGCAAGGCAAGCGCTCCACCACGGAGCCACCTTCCCAGCCCCCTCATTGCACTTCTGTAAAACAATTTACTCCATAGCTGGCAAGCACATCTGGAAACACCCCTCCCTTAACCATACCTGTCCACATCTCATGAATACATGCACCTCTTCTAGTCACAACTGTAGTCTAGGTTCCTGGTTCTCCCATTTGAACTGCTACCACAATTTTCCTGGCTCCCACTGCCCTCCCCTCCAGCCCAGGGGCCAAGTCCCAGTCACCTCTGGCCTGGTACCAGAACCCATGTCCATGTCATTCTCTGCTGCGAACTCATAGGAGCTCTCCTAGTCTCGGGCGGACACAGGCCCTTCAGGACCCTTCGCCTCTTCACTCACATGTCCTCTACTCCCAGCTTGGTCTCCCAGGAACCATACATTCTAATACATTTTTTGAGGTGGTGGTGCTGGGGGAAGCCAGGGTCTCATGAATGCTAGTGAGGTGCTCTACCATCAAGCCACACTTAGCGTCCATTTTTTAAAAAACATTTTTAATGTGCTTATAAGCTTCCAAAATCTAGTTGCTTCATGATTTTTTCTTCAAGACTTTTCTTTTTTTCCTTTGCAACATGCTTCTCCACCCTCATCTGCATGGCAAATGCACAGGAGAGGCAAGCCACAGACCTGGCAGTAAATACAAGCCGGCGGACTGCAGTCTGACATCTGTCTCAAGCTGTAAAATGTGTTAACAAAAGGTCATTTTGGCCTGAGGTCATTCAAGTATTGGTATTTAGCAGTGGTTGGCACTTCAGTGCTCCTGAGGTCTTAGCTGGGTAGACAGCCCTTCCTTGCAAGTGTTCTGTTCCAAGGCCACCTTTCTCCATGTAACCCCACGTGGTTTCTACATTGAACATGGAATTCACTTCTCGTAGCACTCCCTTTTGTTGCACTATTGATTTCTGATCCCTAATTAAACTCACTCCTTGAGAAAGGCCCATACTTTCCAACATCTAACATTAACTTTGCATAGCCAGCAGGTGTGAACTTCCCAGAAAAGGACAGGAAAACAGAATAGCCAGAAATCCATCTCATGATCTACAATTAGAAGCAAGTCTGACTGGCTGGGGTTAAAAAGTACAGTATGTCCTTCACTGGCCTACCCTTTACATTTCAAAAGTAGTGTCCCAGATCAGCATGCTCTGATACTCCCTCCCCCCCCCCCCCCCAGCCCTGCATGACACAATTTAGATCTTGGCTATCTTTTTTTTGATGAGCACTGATCTGTCAAGGCCATTTTTTTTGTTTGGTGCTAGTCCTAAGCTTGAACTCAGCACCTGGGCACAGTCCCTGAGTTTTTGTGCTCAAGGTTAGCATTGTACTACTTGAGCCACAGCTCCACTTCCAGCTTTTTTGGCATTCAGTTGGAGATAAGAGTCTCTCGGACTTTGCTGCCTAGGTTGGCTTTGAATCACAATCCTCAGATCTCAGCCTTCTGAGTAGCTAGGATTTACAGGCTGAGCCACCAGTGCCTAAGGACCCTCTTCCCTCTATTTGAGCACCACAAAGGAACACAGCAACCAGGTAACTAAGTTCATGGTAATCAGAGGGTGAGGTCTTCTGTTCTATCTCAACCTGGGTCTGCTCTCCCAGCCCAGGGCCACACTACCGTCCTGGTGTCATCACTGGCATGCAACACTATAGAACCTTCCACTTCCCCAACCTGCTCTATTGCCAACCTTCTTCCACTGAGACCATCTCACACTTTCATGATTTGTGGTTTACACGACTGAACTCTGCACTTCGCACAAACTAGGTGATTACCCCGCCCTAGCCTTCTTTTACCTTTACATTCTGTGCATTTTCACAGCTTGTAGATATTTGGATCTTGCCACTTCCCAGAAGCTTCTTTTTTCAGAGTGTGTGAGCCCTTCTTCAGAAGGGCTGAGATGTGAGGATTATGATTCTAAGCCAGCTCGAACAGGAGTCTATAAGACTCATGTCCAATTAACTACCAAAAAGCTGGAAGTCATATGGCTCAAGTGATAGAGCACTAGCCTTGAGCACAAATGCTCAGGGACAGCACCTAGGTCCAAGCCCCATGGCCAGCACAGAGAAAAAGAAAAAAAGCGTAACAAGAGCAGGAAGAGAAGAGCATTGCTAAGGGACTCAGGACCACTTCTGGTCATAGACATGGACAATATGTCTCAATTAACAGGCTCAAAAACAGTACACATATTGTTCTGCTGAAGCCCCAAGACTTGTCAAACTTAGTTCAGTGATGCTGGTATGAGACCATTCTTTTATGCCAGGATCATGGCCAACTTAGCCTTGTGAACAGTCTACTGCCTTTAGCACCAAACCCAACTGGTACTGCCTTGAGGTCAACTATGGAGTGAAGCATCACACTGTTTTTTTTTTTTTCTGAGTTCCACTTGGCCAGATCTGCCATGGTTTTCTCTCAGTCACTCCTAAACATCTGGGACAGAGGAACTATTAGCTTCAGGATCTGGCTGGCTGCAGTCAGCTGTGAAGATATCCACATGTGAACATTATTAACTGAACCACTTCCAACTTACCATGGAGACTGAACAGTAGGGACATCTAGTGGCATGAAGTCATTTCCAGCTATAAAACCCTCAGGCTCCCACAAAGTTCTACAGAATAAACACCCCACACTGAGACCCTCTCCTTAACAGATCCAAGTCTACTTCCCATGCCATTTCCTTCCTGTAACACCATTATGCTAAAGAAAAAATCTGTGGCTATTAAAAATGGGCCACTACATGTGAATAAGGTGGTTTTACTTTCCTCTCACTTTTTTTTTTTAAATTCCTAGTTAGGTTTTAAGGAACCTGTAACAGGCTAAAACCTAATTGAGAGATGTGACAGCACCCTTACAACTTTTCTTGGTAGTGCTGGGGATTCAAGCCAGGGTCCTGCACAGGCTAGGCAGGCATCCTCCACTCAGCTACAGCCCTAGGCCCCTTAAGCATATCTGATGGAACATCAATCCAACAAGAATTACTTTGAGCTAAGTTTGCCAGATTGCATTTAGAAAGCCTAAACAGGCACTACCCAGTCCTTTTTCCTCCTCTATTTTATTTCTAAAGGCAATCAAAGGCAGAGGTATTAAGATACCTTATACCATGCAGACTAAATTCATTTGTAAAGATTACTTTACTGTCCTAGAAAAATACAGGTTGCAAATTTGAGGGCTACAACTTAACCACTTTAGAGGCTCATTGAGGGTCAGGGGACAGCCTCTGAATACCAGATTCTGTGGTAACATATGAGAGGCTATTAAATATAGTTAGGTCAGGTGGATTTTAAAAAACTTCATTTTTTTCTTTTTCCATTTTTCTAAAAAAGGAAAAACAAATCGCCATCTGTCTGGCTTGTTTTGTGTATGCATGTATATATAGGAACAGCCTGGGGGAAGGCTCTGTCATGCAATGAAGCGGAACCAAGATGACTTCCTTTGACAGAAGAGTCTTAGTGTTGCAGGACAGGAAGGCGGGCACTGGAAAGGGCTGAGCATGGTGCTGCGCTCACTTGTTCCCACTGAGAACCCAGGCCACTGATGAGTGGTTGAGGGCAGACAGCACGATGATCTCTCGAGGGAATTCTCATCTGATTATATCAGACGTCCCATGAAAGTAGACAGTATGTTTTAGGATAAAAATGGTCGTGATTTCCTGTGCTCCTGGGGTGGGGCAAAATAATCCATGAACCCATAATCCTTTTGGGTATAGATGTTTCTGGACTGACCAGCAGAAAACACAAGGAATAGAGATGGGGGCAGAGCTGGGGAGAAAGAAGGTTCCAGAAATGGGGTATCTTCACAGGGATGCTGAGAAATGTCCTTTGTTCCGTCATTCCTAAGTGCCAGCACTGGTGATCGTGGTCTCGGGAGTTGGTCAACGTCACTCCAGAAAGCCACTCTAGGCTGGGAAGAGGATCTCTTGGCCAGAGGACTGCAGAATGGTCCATGGTTGGGCCCAAACGGGAAGCACAGGTGGAAAGACACCCCCTTTAGATGCCAATGGTCTGTAGAACCCGCCTCTCGTTGTCATTAAGGTGGCCCGAGAACATTACGTAGCAGGGCTGCTGAGCAAACTGGCAGAGGAAGTCTGTGAGATAGGCCTGTGGGAGACAGTGGCATCACTGAGGGTTCCCGGCTCAGCCTGGTGTGGTGGAGTAAGAGCCACCACCAATCTGAGCTCAGCCAGGTGTGGTGGAGTATGGACCACCAGACGCCAGCTTCCTGAGCGATCAGCATTTACTTCCCTGGATGGAATTTAAGTACAAGCCAAGGACAAATTCCAAAGGGAACCAAAACATTAACTGTTTCTATGACTCAATCTCCTATTTTACCCTGGGGACCTTCACTATGTGTTCCAAGAAGCCAGATTACCACAGTGGTAGAAAACTCATATGAAAAGTTCCAGCTCTTTCCTGCCCTAACCCCCTCCACACCCAGCAAGGTAGGAAGTGCCCCGAGGCTCCCAGTGAAGTCAAGAATGCTGAATAGATTTTAGCCTATATCCTGCTTCCATGCTGGACAATGTCCCTTGTAAGACCTCTCCTCTAAACGCATTCACTCACCTGCAGGTCAATCTGATAGAGAGGATCCTTCAGAGCGTCCGGGTCGTCTTCCTCATCATCTTCGTAGTAATCCTCCTCTGTTAGATGCAGCCAAAACAGGTGGGTCAGGACCGAGGTCCAGGATCCCACCTGAGTGGAAACAGTCCAACAACTTCCCTTGTAGGTCTACATCTCCCCTTTCCTGGGCACCCCACTCTCAGTCCCAGCGTGCACAGAAAAGGTATTTACCATGGCTGTCTGCTTCTCAAACTGCTTACCATATTTACTTGTAGCAAGAATGTCAGATAAAAGCTGGCCAGCTAAACCATCCTCTTCTTCCTCCTCTTCCTCCTCCTGGTCCTCCCACATATCATTGGAGTCATCTACTTGGAGATGAGAAGCAGAGCACAGTCATGCATTTTCCCTCTCCACCCCCAGCCTCTGGTGACATTTTGTAAGGTGACCTCACCTTACAAAATGCCAGCCATAGAGGCCATTCAATAAACTTCTTTTTCTTTTTACATTAGTGACAACACAAACCAAATTGGTAACTGGACAATTTGTAACTTGATCTGCCAGGCTCTGAGTATCCCAGGTCTCCGCACCTTGGTTCCACTCTGCAGGGGTAGCTTGGCGAGCGGCATTCGCCTCCATGACGTTGGACAGCTCGTTGATAATCAGCTTCAGGATCTTGACCAGCAAAGGAATGTTTGTCCAGCGCTCTGGGTCTGGGAAGGAAGGAAAAGCCTTCAAGTCAGACCGTCACTGGGTTCATACTGGCAGCATTTCCATCCTGGGCAGAGCCGCTCACCATGCAGCTCATCATCCCTGACTATTCTCAGCCACCAAAGAATGATTTAAATGACTTTATTCTGCTTGAAATTAGTAATAGTTCAAGTGTTGGGAGAGAGAAGAGGTTATAGGAGACAAATTCGTATCAATAATGAAGCCATGAGCCAGGAGCTGGTGGCTCATGGCTATAATCTTAGTTACTCAGGAGGTTGAGATCTGAGGATCACGGTTCAAAGCCAGCCCAGGCAGGAAAGTCTGTGAGACTCTTATCTCCAATAAACCACCCAGAAAACGAAGTGGTGCTGTGGCTCAAGTGGCAGAGAGCTAGCCTTGAGCTGAAGAGCCAACAGACAGTGCCCAGGCCCAGAGTTCAAGCCCCACAACTGACAAGAGAAAAAAAAAGAAAAAAGAAGCCATGAAGCCAAGAGCATAGTATCTAGTCCCTAATGCTTGTAGTCTGCAGGACAGCACAGGCAACTAGTTAAAACACAGCAGCTCCTCTGCATACATCACGTTTATAACAATAATAACAACAACAACAACAACAACAGACAGCATCTCTACCTATGATTAACTGAAGTCACAGGCCACATCTAACCTGATAATGAAGAATGTAGACTATGTGAGTCAAAGCCCCAGAATGAAGCTAATGCTACCCAACACTCCTCTTGCCAATGATCAAGCACAGGAAGGATCCCTATAGTCTGAGCCATTACTGGCCTATGGTTTCTTGCTGCTTCTACAACAAAATATTACTACCGATTAGGTCTGCACACAGACTGCAGTGCACTCCTGCCCCCTCCCCCAGGCGTTCTTAGCTCCTACAGAGGGGATTGGCGGGACAGCAGCATCACCTACTTTTGGTTGACTTTGAGCGGGTACGGATGCCCTCATCCATGTTGTAGATTTCTTCTCCCTTCACACGGATATCCTGTAGCCGTTTGTCATCCGCGTTGATGCCATGCTGGAGCAGTTTACACAGCGCCACCGAGCTGGCAAGAGGTAGAAAAGGTCAATTAACCACCCATCCAAGGATATCAGCCATTATGCCATTTCTCTGATAGTGAAAATTTTGTCCACAATTAATTAAGGACAACAGAGTTCAGTTGAAAATGGGATTCAGAATTCATGAAGTGGTCTAATGAGAGCTGCTCTTCATGAACAAAGCTAGAGAAGGCAAGCATTACCACGGCTATATGCACTGTACAGGCCTCGGGGAATAAATGTCTAGGCTAGCACATGAGAAGGCAGGCTAGGAAGGCCTAGGTTCACCTCTAGCAGTAGTTACTTAGCTGGTGAGGTGTGTTGCAGAGGCAGGTTTTTGGAGGGTAGATACCAGACATACACGTCTACTATGTTGGTCATTTTGGGGGAATTTCAAGATGGCAGTCATTCAAATATGCAGGTTAGTAAGAAAGAGGGCAAAGGGAACTATGAAGGGCAGGTTAGTATAAACAAACAAACAAATCAATGGTGTTAAGACAGGGAAGGAAGAAATGTGAGTAACAGCAGAGTGCTCAAAGAAAGATGGCTCTACCTAACTTTGCCTTCATACTGTCCATAGAACAGGTGTTGTCGGCTTGTCCACTCAGCCATCACAAACTCCAGGGCAGGTTTACCAGTAGGTCCAGGGAGGCTACACAGGAACTCCAAGAGAGGTTCTAGCTGAGTGTGCACCAGATGTGCAAATACCATGATCAGAGACTACAAGAGAACAAAATGGACACTTGCCTCAGAGAAACTGATTTCTAAGGCACAGGAGGCAAGAAGAAATGGCCTGTAAGGCAAGAAATAGTCAATGCACCATAGAGATCATTCACAGGACAGGCAAACAGACTTCCTTGTCCATATTTACTAGGCCAGAACAGACCCATTTTATTTAACTTTTCAGAAGGACTGTACAAGGGTAAAACAACTCAGGGTCTACGCGATCATTTACATTTCTATCCTGAAGCATGGTGGGGAAAGGCCAACTCTCCACTGTCCTTACCTGCATGACACTGAGGGTCTCTGCCTGTTGCATCTTACTGAGGATGGCACGAAGAATCTGGTCCAGATTTTCCCCAAGCTCCCGTCCTGCCTTGGAGATAAGGGTGGAGACGAGGCGGCCCACAAAGGCTGCAGTGAACTCTGAGGTGCGGGGGTCTAGAAGCTGGCTCACCACTTGCATCACATACCAGAGTCCGTTGTGACCTTGTTCATCATGCCACTGGGCTACCTGTTCCAGTGTCACTGATACATAGGCCCGCAAGCACTCTCCACCATTCTGGGGAGACAGAGGTGACAAGCAAAATTAGCAGTGGGGGTGGGGGAGGCAGATGATGACAGTTGTCAGGAGGCCCTCAGCCTGGAAAGGCAAACGTTATTCTCCAAGGGCTATGCCTCAGGAACTGGAGGCAGGAACTCACTGTTACTGGCTGGGAGCTATTTTCTGCCTGGCCTCCGTGTCTCAGATACCTGCATGGTGGCGTTATCATCCGTGTGAAGGGTGCACTGTGCCACGGCAGGGAACGCTTGACAGATGAGAAGCTGGGAAAGGGGAGGCTTTGTATTCCGTACTACTGTAGTCAGGATATCAATGGCTGTCTGGAGGAGAAAAGAAAGAAGAGTCAGAACTGTCTCTAGAGGAAAAGATGTCCAATAACCAAGAGGCTTACTGAGTGGATATAACATAGCAACCCAGAGAAAAGGAACAACTGGTAGATAGAGCTCTTGGCCTCCTTATGGAAACACCAATGGCTTTCCTGGCTTCCAGTCAGGCAGGTAGGATCCGTGGTGGCACTTGCAGACCACTCTCTTTCACACAACAGGCCTGGCAGCCACTCACCGCACACAGCCCCGCAGGAATCTTGTCTGCTGGGGCCTGCATGATGCTGACGAGGGTGGGAATGAGCCGCATCTGCATGGGGCCTTGACAAGCTTCGATCTGAGACAGCTCCTTGAAGATATCTTGAGCCAGTGAGGCAACGACAGGATCTGCAGTGGAGAAGGCGACTTGAGCCCCGCGGCCCACTCACCTGCCTCTGCTTTAATCATATTTGTTTTTGAGAGGTTTTTTGTTTGTTTGTTTTGGTCCGGTCTAGGGGCCTGAACTCTGGGCCTGGGCACTGTCCCTCAGCTCTTTAGCTCAAGGCTAGCGCTCTACCACTTGAGCCACAGCGCCACTTCTGGTTTTTTCTTTTTCTGCTTATGTGGTGCTGAGGAATCAAACCCAGGGCCTCAGGCATGCAAGGCAAGTGCTCTACCACTGAGCCACCTTTCCAGCCCTCATGTTTGTTTTGTCCTAGTTAAAAAATACCGCGCTGATTACTTTTCACACATTCAAGAGGGGCCAGCCACATGAACAACCTGCAGAACAGGGGAGATCTAACAACACTCATATTCTCTTTATGGCAATGACGTCATGAAGTTATCCCTGAAACAAAATTTAGCCTTTTTCCTGGGATACATTTTTTGTGTTGTTTGCTGCTATATAGCTCTGTTGACATGAAAACTGTTCAAACATAACTCTTAGTAGGTAGCCATGACAGAAAGAACTGTCATAAAAGCAGACCCTGCTGAAGAAATGGACCTTTGTTGCATATGCGTATTTTGAGATAGGGTCTCGTTATGTAGCCAGTGGCTGGGCACTGGGCATGCCTGTCATCCCAGGCTACAAGAGGAGCACAATGGCTGGTCTCAACTCTCAAGCTGCCTGCCTCAGCCTTGAGAGTACAGAGATTATAGGCATGTGTTACCATGCCTGGCTAAGATATGAAACTTTATGTTGACCTTCTTTATACAATATAAAGTCCTTGTTCATACAGCATGCAAAAATATATGTAGTGTAATGCTAAAAACCACTGCAGCATTGTTTGTAATAGGAAAAAAATGGAAACAATCTATTAACAGAATGGATATATTATGATGCAGCCATTTTATGGAACGCTGTGGATGACTGAAAAGAATGATACATCCAAACATGCAGTGTGGAAAGCTCTTACGATGTATTTTCTTTAGGGAGGAGGACGGATAGAGGGCTCAGTTGTGGGGCTTAAACTCAAGGCCTAGACGCTGTTCCTGAGCCTTTTCACTCAAGGCTAGCAATCTACCACTTCAGGCCATAGCACCACTTCCAGTTTTCTGGTGGTTTCTTGGAGGTAAGAGTCTCATGGACTTTCCTGCCTGGGCTGGCTTTGAACCATCATCCTCCTCAGACCTCAGCCTCATGAATAGCTAGGACTCCAGGTGAAAGCCACCAGCGCCCGGCAGGATGTATTTTTTTTTTGGGGGGGGGGGGGGGGTTGGTCGTGGGGCTTGAACTCTGGGCTTGGGCGCTGTCCCTGCGTTCTTAAGGGCTCTACCTCTTGAGCCACAGCACCACTTCCTGTTTTCTAGTGGTTTATTGGAGATAAGAGTCTCACGGACTTTCCTGCCCGGGCTGGCTTTGAACCTCGATCCTAAGATCTCAGCCTCCTGAGTAGCTAGGATTACAGGCCTGAGCCACCAGCGCCCGGCTGGCAGGATGTATTTTTAAAAAGTGAAAAGCAAATCAAGTGAACACGTTCCTTATCCTTTAAGTGATTCCTACTGCTTTGAGCTTCAACATTTACAACAAATACTCTTAATATTTGCCTAGTAATAAAGTACGAATAGATATATCCATAACATAAAATGGAGAAAAGTACTAAAGGAAGAAAAAAAAAAAAACTCCATACCTGTCATGCTACCACCTAGAGATAACTACCTTAGTCCCTTAGCATCTGGATGTATTTTCTCTATAAATACCCTTTTCTAAAACCAAAGCTTGCTATCATATCTTCTGGATGTTTTTGTAAAGATCATCTTCTATTTATTTGGGCTTTTTTTCCCCCCACAGTAGTGAGATTTGAACTCAAGGTCTTGTGTTTGCTAAGCAGATGTTCTATCACTTGACATGCTTTGCCTGTCCCTTTGGTGCTGAGTTATTTTCAGGATAGGATTATGTCATGTTGGCCTGGACCACAATCCTATTCGTGCCTTACTTTGTTGCTGGGAGAACAGGTGCATTCCACTGCCCCCAGTCACTGTGTATCTTTTGAAGTATGGAATGACAGGCATGTCACACTGTGCCCAGCCATTGAGTAATATAGGGTCTTTTGGCTTGTTTTTATTGTCTGTACTGGGTCTTGAACTCAGGGCCTCTTGCTAGCTTTTTTGTTGAAAGCTGGAGCTCTTCCACTTGCACCGTATGTCTGCTCTTGGCTTTTGGTTTTCTAACTAGAGGTAAGATTCTCTCAGACTTGTCTGGGCTGGCTTTGCATCTTGATCCTCAGATCTCAGCCTTCTGAGTATCTAGTCACCAGTACCAGTTGAGTCTTGTGAACTTTTATGTCCAGCGTGGCCTTGAACTTTGATACTCCATCTCCGCCTTCCAAGCAGCTAGGATTATAGGCTTGACACACCATACTCAACCACACTATCTTTATAATGTAAACAATTTGCATGGTTTTTGCTTAACATAAAGCTTGCTTTTTTTTGGTGGGTCATGGGGCTTGAACTCTGGGCCTGGGCGCTGTCCCTCAGCTCTTCAGCTCAAGGCGAGCGCTCTACCACTTGAGCTACAGCGCCACTTCCAGTTTTCTGGTGGTTTATTGGAGATAGGAATCTCACGGTCTTTCCTGCCCGGGCTGGCTTTGAACCTTGATTCTCATATCTCAGCCTCCTGAGTAGCTAGGATTATAGGCGTGAGCCACCGGTGCCCGGCTAAAGCTTGCTTTTTAACAGCTGCACAGTACTTCATTTTTTTTTTGGGGGGGGGGGGGGAGGTTGGTCATGGGGCTTGAACTCTGGGCCTGAGTGCTGTCCCTCAGATCTTCAGCTCAAGGCTAGTGCTCTACCACTTGAGCCACAGTGCCACTTCTGGTTTTCTGGTAGTTTATTGGAGATGAGAGTTTCACAGCTTCTCCTGCCTGGGCTGGCTTTGAGCCATGATCCTCAGATCTCAGCTTCTTGACTAGTTAGGATTATAGGTGTGAACCACCAGCGCCAGGCAGTATTTCATTTTATAGACACACATTTTTAATTAATATAAAAAACATTTATGTTTATGTAACTGTAACCTTTTATAATAATAAAAAATAAAAAAATTTGTGTCAGGTGTGGTTGACACATGGCTATAACCTCCACATCAAGAGGTTAAGGTAGAGGTTTGTGAGGTATGTCTCAAAAAAACAAAACAAAACAAAACCCAAACAATCCAAAGGCTGTGAATATAGCTTGCTTAACGTGTAATGCCCTTGGTTACTTCTGGCATTGCAAACAGAACAATCAATCAATCTGATGATTAACTTTGTTCATCAAGTTCTGAATGTTTCTTTCTTTCTTTTTTTGCCAGTCATGGTGCCTGAACTCTGGGCCTGGGAGCTGTCCCTCAGTTCTTCAACTCAAGGCTAGCACTCTCTGCCACTTGAGCAACAATGCCACTTCCGGCTTTTTCTGCTTATGTGGTGTTGAGGAATAGAACCCAGGGCCTCATGCATACAAGGCAAGCACTCTACCACTGAGCCACCTTCCCAGACCCTGAATGTTTCTTATTTTTGAAGTGCTGTAGATCAAACCCAGGGCTTGGTACATGCTAAGCAAGTGCTCTACCACTGAGTTATAGCCTGAGGTGCCAGTATTTTCTTTTCTAAATTATAGTTCTAGGCTGGCCTCTTTTATCAGGCTTTTCATTTATTTATTTAATTTCCTACTTTATGTCAGAATTTTGGATTCTACTTCTTGCTTATTGGCCTTTTATTCAAGATCTTTCCCACTTAGTCCTTATTCTACTTTTTAATACTGCTCTAACTATAGTCCAACTTTCTCCTTTGCTAACTGAAAGTCCTATCTCTGCATATAATGCTTAAGACCAGTCACCTAAGTTCATCAGTACCAATCATCCTTTCTTAAGCATACCATTACTGTACTTGAGGAAAATGGCGATGGTAAAGGGGCAGATTTTGCTTTCCATGTTTGCTGTGAATTCTGGGTCTACAGTACAAACGATGCACAGGGTCTCCATAACGAGGTTGAGGACCTCTGAGCTGAACTGGGCTGCAAGATGAATTAGGCCATCAAGGATGCTGGGGAGGAAGGGCTGAAGCACATGGGTGCTTTCTGAGACTTTCAGTTGATCACAATAACTAGAGAGAGAGAGAAGCAAAAATTATTCACAAGCAGTGCTAGTGATTAAACCCCAGGGTTTCCTATGCATTATGTGCCATACTACTAAGTTATATTCACACTCATCTTCTATTCTTTGTGTGTGTGTATGTGTGGATACTTGGGTTTGAACTGAGTCTGGGTGTTGTCCCTGAGCTTTTCTGCTCAACACTAGTGCTGTGCCACTTGAGCCACAGCTCCACTTCTGGCTTTTTGGTGGTTAATTGGAGATAAGAGTCTCATGGACTTTCTTGCCTAGACTGGCTTCAAACCAATGCTCTGATCTCAGACTCCTGAGTAGCAAGGATTACAGATGTGAGCCATCAGTGCTGGCTCCTGTTTTCTTTAAAATTTCATCCTTCTCCCTGTGTTGAAGCAAACAATCCATCCAAATTAAGATATTAAATTAGATATTTCATGATTCTTCAGACTAGTTGCTGCTTTAGGTATCTCATACAACTATTTTTTTTTTTTTTTTGGTCTGGTCGTGTGGCCTGAACTCTGGACCTGGGCGCTGTCCCTCTCTTCAGCTCAAGGCTGGCGCTCTACCACTTGAGCCACAGCGCCACTTCCAGTTTTTTCTTTTTTGCTTATGTGGTGCTGAGGAATCGAACCCAGGGCCTCATGCATACAAGGCAAGCGCTCTACCACTGAGCCACCTTCCCAGCCCACAACTATTTTTAAAAATTTTAATTACCATGATATATAATTTTTCTTTTCTTTTTTTTTTTTTTTTTTGGTCCGGTTGTGGGGCCTGAACTCTGGACCTGGGCACTGTCCCTCAGCTCTTCAGCTCAAGGCTAGTGCTCTACCACTTGAGCCATAGCACTACTTCCGGCTTTTTTCTTTTTGCTTATGTGGTGCTGAGGAATGGAACCCAGGGCCTCAGGCATATAAGGCAAGAGCTCTACCACTGAGCCACCTTCCCAGCCCCATGATATATTATTTTCGTAACTGCATTTTTTTTGCATCTCAATATAAATTTAAGTATGTAAACATTACACGAAATTAGTATTCATCTGTAGGGTTCAAAGTTCTTCTTTTTGTTTGTTTTTTTATCCCTGGTCCTGGGGCTTGAACTCAGGGCTTGGGCACTGTCCCTGAGCTTCTTTGTGCTCAAGGCTAGCTCTACCACTTGAGCTATAGTGCCACTTCTGGTTTTTTCTGAGTATTTTATTGGAGATAAAAATCTCACGGACTTTACTGCCCAGGATGGCTTCGAACTCCATTCTCAACCCCCTGAGTAGCTAGATTTACAGGCGTGAGCTGCGTGAACCACCAGTGCCCAGCAGGTTCAAAGTTCTTTACACACAGTTGAATTATATTTACCTCCACAAAGTATTTACTGGATGCTGCTTGCCATGTCCAACAGGGATACAATTGTGACAAACGAATTGCCTAAATCTCAACTTCGCTTTTCCTTTAGTGTGACAGTCAAGTTAAAAAGCAACAAAAACATTGCATCTAAGTTCTAAGACCTTAGTACTGAAATAAAGTGTTCACAGGACCCAAGAAATAGTTTTTAAGTTATTATTTTTGTTCCTTTTAAGTGTCTTATAGTCATTTATGTTAGCTGTCAAAGCTCCACAATGATCTCAGCCTTCTAAGTAGCTAGGATTAGAGGTGAGTCACTGGCACATGGCCATAAATAAACATTTAAAATATGCAGCAAGGAACGAAAGGTTTTGTATACTAATCTCCCTAGAGAAAATTAAAATAATTAGGTATGCTCACCACATACTGCTTGTCTATCTAAAACAACATACAAAGTAATGTGTTTATTTTACCTAAGTATTTTCACATTCACTTCTCAGTTTGCAAATTTGACTATTTCTATAAAACCACAACACAAAGCTGGGCATTGGTGGCTCACCCCTGTAACCCTAGCCAGTCAGGAGGCTGAGATCTGAGGATTGTGATTTGAAGCCAGCCCAGGCAGGAATGTTCGTGAGACTTGTGTCTCCTGTAAACCACAGTACGAAAAAAGCTGGAAGTAGAGCTATGGCTCAAATTGTAGAGAACTTGCCTTGAGGAAAAAGAAGCTCAGAGACAGTGCCCAGGCTCTGAGTTCTAGCTCCAGAACTGGCACCAAACAAAACAAACAAAAGCCAATAGATAGTAGACAAATGTTATTTCCCTGGTTCTACCCTTGTCCATAGGTTTTAATGATTTTTTTGTTATTTAGTTGGCGATTGCTTTTAATCTTACATGAAACTCGTCACAAAGGACCTTCCTTTTTTTTTTTTTTTTAAATATAGCAAGGAGTAATACATATAAATAAAATTAAGTTTCACAAGGTCAAAATCAACACAGATACTGATAGATGTCCTACAGATCAGAAAAACTTTATCAGTCATGTTGTAACTAGAGCTCATCATTTAGAAAGGCTTCAGAGCTTTCCGAAAAAGTTATTTTTGGTGCTCTGAAGTTTGAACTCAGGGCCTCACAACTTGCTAGGCAGGCGCTCTATCACTTAAGGCACGACACTGTAGTTTAGCTCTTAACACAGTGATGTATTAATTAAAGAGTTGCTTTAGTTGGAATGTAGAGAGAAAGACAGGACTCTGTTCATGATCATAACATCTGATAAATCAAAATAAAGGTTGACAACACAGGCAACTCCTCAGTGCTTTCTAAAGAGATAAATACAATAAGCACAGTATCTTAAAATGCCTCAAATGATAAGAAGACAGGGAAGGCAGGTGGAAGATGAATTTGTACTGGTAATCGTTAGGATTCAATTTGAAATGCTTAAGTTTGGATCTTAAGACATTCCTTAAAACAGGGCTAGAGATGTTATTGAAAGGGTAGGATGCCTGCCTAGCAAGCATGAAGCTTGGAATTCAAACCCTAGTACCATTAAAAAAAAAATTAGCATTATTACTTTTGTTTTTTTTTGGTGCTGGTACTTTTGGGCTTGAACTCAGGGCCTAGGCACTATCTCTTAGCTTTTTCACTCAAGAATGAAAAACAACAAGGAGTAGGAGGACATCCTTACAAAAGCCATGTTACTTGTACAGCTGCATCCCCCCTTTTCGCAACCCTCATTTTGAAGATCTTCAGCAGAAATTTCCAAGCAACTTAATAGATTGGACAATCATAGTTTGAGATACAGACCTGAGTCATTTTTTCTTAAAGCAATTCTTACTACCCTAGGGCAGCATACTCACCCCCAGATGGCTCGCACAGCAGAAATTCGAACTGATGGTGGTTGTGACTCATGAAGACCACTAACTGTCGCCTGCAGGAACTGCTGGATCAGTTCAGGGGACATAGCAACAGTGAAGCGACTGGCAGCCCAAAGTGCTCGACCCAAGAGGAAAGGAGACACTGGGAGAAAGTGAACAATTACAGGTTGGACAGTGCAAAGTTCCATTACATGCCTGCCTTCCCCTCACTCCCTCGCCAACTTCACTCCTCAAATCTTCACAAATAACTGAATGCTATGCAATATACCTAACTTATTTGGGGAGAAAAGTATTTCACAGAAAAGAAGCAAATATGTGTACAGAATCAATTTTACTGTAGGCATGAGATCTAGAATACTGGAAGGCTAAGACTTTACTATCCCAGTTCCATCCCAGCCCTCACTTCTTTATATTGCCTTGTAAACATCTACACTGCTACTTTTCTTCCTACATTTTTGCCTTTCCTGGAATATTAACTACAGTTCTGCCAGTGATTTCTACAGTTCACCCAAAGACCACCTTAGGCTGGATGTGGTAGTTCACATCTATAATCTCAGCTGCTTAGGAGGTGAAGATCAGGAACATTTGATGTCAACCCATGAGATTCAGTCTTAACCAATAAGCCAGGCATGGTTAATCCTAGCTATGTGGGAGGCACTGATTGGAGGATGTGGTCTAAGGCTCATTTTGGACAAAAATGAGATCCTGTCTAAAATGAAGCAAAAAAGAACTGGGAAGCTGGGTGCTGGTAGCTCATGCCTGTAATCTTAGCTACTCAGGAGGCAGAAATCTGAAGACTGTGGTTTGAAGCCAGCCCAGGCAGGAAATTCTGTGAGGTCTTACCTCCAATTAACTACTCAAAAAAGCTAGAAGTGGTGCTGTGGCTCAAGTGGTACAGCACTCACCTGGAGCAAAAGAAGCTCAGGGATGCCGGGTGCTGGTGGCTCACGCCTGTAATCCTAGCTACTCAGGAGGGTGAGATCTGAGGATCGTGGTTCAAAGCCAGCCAGGGCAAGAGAGACCGAGAGACTCCTATCTCCAATAAATCACCAGAAAACCAGAAGTGGCGCTGTAGCTCAAGCGGTAGAGCCCTCGCCTTGAGCTGAAGAGCTGAGGGACAGTGCCCAGGCCCAGAGTTCAAGCCCCACGGCCGACCAAAAAAAAAAAAAAAGAAGCTCAGGGACAGCACCGAGGTCCAGAGTTCAAGCCCCAGAACTGGCAAAAAAGGACTGGGAGCATGGCTCAAATGGTAAGGCCCCTGACTAGCAGGTGTAAAGCCCTCAGTTCAAAACTCAATACTAGCAAAACAAAACAACCAATATGAATCAAAACAATACTTATCTTAGTTCTCATGGCATTTAAGGCTAAGACCACTCTACTATTATCTTGCTTTACCAGCTCGGTGTTTTGGTTATATTATAAACTAGTATATTCTCCTCTCTTAGTCTGAAGTAATCTTAACTCTGAGCCACTATAACTCTTTGTATTCAGCTTTCTTACATGTTATATGCTTTGATATTCCAGCTATTGGTATAAGAATGACTACTCTCTGCTGCTAATTATAAGCCACATGAGGAGACAAAACTTACTCAGATGGCATAGGTCTTTTTTTTTGGTGGGTTGTGGAGCCTGAACTCTGGGTCTGGGCGCTGTCCATTAGCTCTTCAGCTCAAGGCTAGAGTGCTACACTTGAGCCACAGCATCACTTTCGGCTTTTTTTGCTTATATGGTGCTAAGGAATCAAACCCAGGGCCTCATGCATGGCAAGTACTCTACCACTGGGCACCTTCCCTGATCATGATGTCATAGGTCTTAACTTAGTTACAAAAACAACTAGTTGACCAGAACTGTTGAATAGACCCTAACTACATTAATACTTTAGCAAAACAGAGCAGTATTAGTCAAAGTATGGTCCAAGAACTCCTAGAAACCCTTATAAAAAACCTCTTTTTGAAGCTTGGCGCTGGTGGCTCATGCCTGTAATCCTAGCTACTCAGGAGGCTGAGATCTGAGGATCATGGTTCAAAGCCAGCCCGGGCAGGAAAGACCGTGAGACTCTTGTCTCTAATAAACCACCAGAAAACCGGAAGTGGCACTGTAGCTCAAGCAGTAGAGCGCTTGCCTTGAGCTAAAGAGCTGAGGGACAGTGCCCTAGCCCAGAGTTCAAGCCCCATGACCACAAAAAAAACAAAAAACAAAAAAAAAACCCCAAACACCTCTTTTTTTTGGGGGGGGGGGAGGGTTGGGTTGTGATACTGGCGTTTGAACTCAGAGCTTCATGATCTCTTCCCAAGTAGTTAGGACAAGAGTGATTCACCAGTGGCTGGCCAGTTGAGTTAACATTCTATTATAGCAATGTTAAAACATTATCTGTCTTTTCACTCTCTTCTTTCACAAATATAGAGTGGAATTCTCCTATGACATGATGTGATATGATGTAATGTGACATTAATGTAATATGACATTAATCTGACATTAATGGATGTAAGTAAGCCACAATTTTCCTATATTAAAGAACTGAGGGGGCTGGGAAGGTGGCTCAGTGGTAGAGTGCTTGCCTTGCATGCATGAGGCCCTGGGTTCGATTCCTCAGCACCACATAAGCAAAAAGAAAAAAGCCGGGAGTGGCGCTGTGGCTCAAGTGGTAGAGCGCTAGCCTTGAGCTGAAGAGCTGAGGGACAGCGCCCAGGCCCAAAGTTCAGGCCACACGACTGGACCCAAAAAAAGAAAAAAAATCTTTTTGGGACCTGCGACCAGTGGCTATAATCCTAGCTACTTAGGAAGCTGAGATGTGAGAATTGTAGTTCAAAGGTTGCCAAGGCAGACAAATCCTAAAGACTATCTTCAATAAACCAGCAAAATGCTAGAAATGGAATGTAGCTCAAGTGTTAGGAGTGCCAACCTTGAGCAAAAAAAGATTAGCAAGAGCTTGAGGCCCTGAATTCAAGCCTTAGTACCACCATGAGCGCGCGTACACACACACACTCACAAATCTCCTTGGGATTTTTTTTTTTGGTTGGTTGTGGGGCTTGAACTCTGGGCCTGGGGGCTGTCCCTCAGCTCTTCAGCTCAAGCCGAGCACTCTACCACTTGAGCTACAGCGCCACTTCCAGTTTTCTAGTGATTTATTGGAGATAGGAGTCTCATGGTATTTCCTGCCCAGGCTGGCTTTGAACTGTGGTCCTCAGATCCCAGCCTCCTGAGTAGCTAGGATTACAGGCGTGGACCACTGGTGCCCGGACTTCCTTGGGATTTTTGTTACCTTTTTTTTGTCGGTCGTGGAGGCTGAACTCTGGGTGCTGTCCCTCAGCTCTTCAGCTCAAGACTAGGGCCTTACCATTTGAAGACACAGTGCCACTTCTGGTTTTTTCCTGCTTATGTGGTGCTGAGGAATCGAATCCAGGGCCTCACGCATGCAAGGCAAGGACTCTACCACTGAGCCACCTTCCCAGCCCGGGATTTTTGTTAAGTTTTAAGGCTACAAAGGGTATAGTCCAAAGTGTTTGAGAATGGCTGGTACAGAAAAGTTTTTTTTTGTCCTTGGACTTGAATTTGGTATCTGATGCTTTTGCTCATTGGCTGGTGCTCTACTACCTGAGCGATGACTCCAACTCCAAGAAAAACTTTTTAATTATAGGAAGAATTAATATATACTGGGTCTTTTTGAAATACTGATTTCGAACAAAAATTTAAAATTCTTTGCTAAAGTTCTTCTAGAATCTTGACAGGCACTAAAACCTACCAGAGAGGTTGAGGTCTGTAAGGATGACATTGGTCAGGAAGCCATGCATGTCGAACTGGATCCTGCCGCTCTTCACACTGTCCGTGATGATGGACTTCACTGAGCCTAGGGCGAGCATGCAGGCCTCGTGGATCTTCCACCTGCAAAAGGGACACCACAGCTGGTAAAAACAAACCACACCGCCAAACACAATAAGTAGTTTGGAGAAGATTCTGAAAAGGGCATTCCAGCACAACATATCCACCAAGGGCCATTTATCTACTCTCCCAATCTAAACACTGTTAGTAAATTGTACTAAAAACAGAAATTTAGTAACAAGAGATTTTTCTGCTTAGGAACAAAATAAAAGCCCTTCCTTTGAAAGAGGCAGGGCATCCAAAAAAGGGTAAAATGACAGCATTTTAACCAATTACTTTAGGGTTAGGAAGAGTGGCTTGAGAGCAAAGGATGGGTTTGTGTGCCTCGGATGTGACGTCTTCCGTCACCATGTTGCGCACTCTTACCAGTGCTCAGCACCACTGGTTTTGGTTTGTTCTGCTTCTTGTAAGTGCCGAGTGCCAGCAGCAGCCAGGGCCACTGCACTCTCATTCTGAAAATCCGTGGCCACAGCCTAGGGAGAGAAGAAAAATGTGCATAGTAAATGTATTTTACGTAAGCTGCATTCGTCAGGATTGTTACAAAGTGAATGGTTCAAATTCTTCATTAATTACGCACTGAACTGAAGGTCTCCACAGCGCCTAGGCACTAAGATAACTGCCCCCTTCGGCTGCGTTAAACAGAACGTAAGTAAAAATGACAGTCAGCTTTGTATAACAACGGGGCAGATATTTATCTTTTGGAACTTAAGCATGAAAAAATAAGGCAATTTTGCTCATTGAAAACTAGAGTAATCATTTCTTTGTGATGTTGGGGATGGAACCCACAGCTTTATTTATGCACACTGCTCCCGCTCTGGGCTAGTCCCCAGCTCTTATAGTTAGTCCTTCTAATCTTTCACAGGTATCTTAGAAAAACTAAATGATAACCAAGAGTGATCCACCAACAAACCTCCTACCCAACAGGAAGCAACTGGCAGTTTCTTCATAGCATTCCAGCCTAAAGACAACACTAGGCCTAGGCAGAGGAGCCAAAGAAAACATGAGCAGATGTTCGTATGTTCATCTCTCAGCAGTCTTTTTTAAGATTTGTACAATAGTCTCATTGAGGGAAGGATTAAACCCAAGTTCCTGACTCAACTACCCTTAGTCATTAAACATTTTATCTTCTACACAATTCTGAAAATCTAATATTTACTTGTAAGTCAGAACCAGAACTTGGAATTTCTGAGTCTTAGATTAGACCTGAGAGTTCTCTTGAATCTCCAAGAGTGAAATAACAGCGCTGGCCACCTAGGTTAGATGTCTAGGCAGAGAAAACCCTCAAGGGACAGAGGATTACTGGGCTAAAATATCTTACCAACAACAGGTCTTGAGCTGCAATCCTAACAGTGTAGGAGAAAGTATCATCGTCTTCATCTTCTACAAACTGTTGAGGGTTGGCGGTCCATACTTTAATCTGAAAAGATTGATGGGAGTTAGATCTAAGGCCATCAACCTGTTATTGTTTTTCATCAAAAGACATGGAAGATTGTCAACATTTTATCCTGAACAAAATTCTAGCCTCAAAAGCTGTTTCTTTTTGTTGTATGTGGAAGAGACCTTAATCAGTAGCCAGGGTAGAACAAAAGCCCTCTTTGGACAAGCAGGCTTTGAGAAGTTCAAACTTGTATAACTTCACGTATTTGCTTAAGTGTTCTTGGTATACTGAAAACAAGGGAATGCCAGATTTCATGAGGTTACCCTTGTCCCCTCTAGGGTAAGTATTCTTCAAGAAAATAAGCAAGATTAGGTCTAATTAGGAGAAAACATCTGGTACCCTACTCTCTGGACTGCTTATATCATTGGTACTCTTTACTTGTTAACTAAGACTAATGAAAGCAAGGTGGCTCTACTGTCCAGGACTGTTGCTATGCAGAGCAGTCCTGCAGGGTCACTTGGATACAGACTGAAATGGTTGGTCTTCCCCCCGCCTGCCCCCCCCACCCCCCGACTTATATGAGCGGCATTGTCTTATTCTTGATTGCTCCCTTCTGGTTTTAATGATCCACCAGCCAAGTTAATAATCTAATCACTGCATTTCACTATTTATAGGGAAGGAACAAGTTCTCTTAGATGCTAGGATCACTGGGTGATAGTCTTACAGACTTTCCTACTGGAAAAAAAACTGTTCTAGTTTAACAAAATAAATACCAGGAAGTTGAAACATGTTGTCATGGGGATGGAGGCAAGAGGAGGGAGCAGACAAATGAAGAGAGGAAGCTCAGGTAAATACAGTCATTACATTCAGTGTACCTTATATTATAAGCTGAACTATGTAACTTGAGAGTATGGATGGATTTGGAAAAGCGGGAAGAATGTTGGAAGGAGCGACACTGATAGGATGTATTGTACTCATAATCCTACTTGAACTGAAACCCTTTTGTACAACTATTTTAAAAATAATAATAAAAAAAGAAAATAAAAGAAAAACAATGTTCTGAAAGCACAACTACTGAACATAGGAGTTGATTAAACTCCAAAGATGTGGCAATAAAATGATGCCAAAGCTTTCTTAGAAACTTCACATGCAGGACTCTCTTATAGTCTATCTTTAGAAATCAAGTGTTTACTTGACCAAGACCAGAAATTCATGAAGCTGGTCTTTCCAAATATCAGTTAATAACTGTCTCCCAAATACTACTTACCTGCTCCTCAGTGATCTGCATGTACAGGATAATATAGTAAATCAACTCAGGCAAGGCTTTCTTAACAGTGCTTTTGAATTTGCTATTTTCTAGTAGGGCATGGACAAATTCAAAAATACTAAAGACGAGATTTTCAAAGCCCAGGACTTCACCTATAGCAAATACATAAAAGAAGAAATTGATGATATGACAGTGAAATGAATGCATGCTGGAAATAAGCTACACTGTAAATTAGGGAATAGTTAAAGAACTTGCTAATTATTACATTTGAAGGTTTGGTTGAGGGAGCTGACGAGTCAAAGAAAGGAACTGTGGATAACAGTTTTTGGAGTAAAAGCGTAAAAAAACATGAAATGTATTTTTCAGTATGTTTATTTTTTATCTGAAATACAAATATTGAAAACAGAAAGTATTAAACTCGATTAGAAAATTCACTTAAGGGCTGGGAAGGTAGCTCAGTGGTAGAGTGCTTGCCTTGCATGCATGAGGCCCTGGGTTCGATTCTTCAGTACCACATAAGCAGAAAAAACCAGAAGTGGCGCTGTGGCTCAAGTGGTAGAGGGCTAACCTTGAGCTGAAGAGCTGAGGGACAGCGCCCAGGCCCAGAGTTCAGGCCCACAACCGACACCCCCCCCCCCCCCACCAAAAAAAAAAAAGAAAATTCACTTAAGGGCTGGGAAGGTGGCTCAGTGGTACAGTGCCTGCCTTGCATGCATGAGGCCCTGGGTTCGATTCCTCAGCACCACATAAGCAGAAAAAGCCAGAATTGGCACTGTGGCTCAAGTGGTATAGTACTAGCTTTGAGCTGAGGAGCTCAGGGACAGCGACCAAGCCCAGAGTTCAAGCCCCGCGACCGACAAAAAAAAAAAAAAAAAAAAGGAAAGTTCACTTAAGAGAAGGAAACCTGTATGTTACTGCTTTTTTCTGCCTTACATTTTCTTTTTCCACATTTCTTCCTACTAATTGGTATTTCTGTCAAGATCAAATAAACAACATACCGTCAGAATCCACAGGATCTTCTACTTCTTCTGTGTAATTTACTTCTGTCCTCACATAAGTATGATGAAGAGTAAAGAAATAGAATATGGAGTCTGCTTTACATAATTCTACAAGGGAGTGTGATATATTCCAATATTAGGGGTACACACCAAAAGGGGTACACACATGAATGTGAAACCTAGGCTTGATTCCCAATTAGAGGTGGCAGTGGGTCCCTCAAGCTTTCAGGAAAGGATATAAAGCAGCACTTTCGGTGAGTGTGTTCCAAACAATAGGCAGAATCTGCTGCATGGAGGACACCATGTGCTTGGGGAAGTTTTTCACCAGGGCTGTCACTGCCTGAGAAGTGAAGACAGGAGAAGTCAATATTCCACACTACCCACTCAAACGCCAATCTACTGGTATGAGTGTTCACCTTTAGAACCTCCATCTTAAAGCCACTGTCACATGTGGGGCCATCTGGCATCTGGAGAGCCTGGACAAAGGCCTCTGTGAACTGCTGTACCACGGGGAAGATCAGGACTTTTGCTGCTCCCTGGAATAAAAAGCACGATCAATACTGGACGAACCTCTAGCCATAGCTCCACATACATACCAAACACAGAGATTTGAGCCACTTAAGGTTGTTCCCAGATTCAGGTTCCAATCAGGAGACACAGTAATAAAGTCAAAGAGGTGTTGCTCAAGATTTCATTCTCGCCCCAGCCCTCTTAAAAACTACGGTTGCACATCATTTTTTTCTTTTAATTTTAAATAACTCAGGGTTAACACTTCCAAAAAGAGAAATGTACTGGTTACCTGACTTATGAAACAGTAACTTCTCTGCACAACCCCTTAATAATAATAAAATTATATTAAAATTATAGTTATATATTAACAATATATAAAATTATATTAAAAAATAGTAACTGCTTGTGAATTCCAAAGTTAGTATTTCAGTTTTCTTTCTTTCACATAAAAAGTCACAGAAAGACAGAAAGGTTTTAAGGGATATCTAGTATGAAAAGACACAGGAAAACATGTTTGAAAAAATCAGACTTAGGAGGAAACTAAGTTATATACAATGTATAAGTTAACAAATCAATCAAAATTTATATCAATCTATAGCACTGATCAGGCTGCTTTCTATACTTTATCTGCCAAGCACTAACGAAGATGTAAGCATGCAGTTTGATTTTCACTGGAAGGCTCACTCACCTTTTCCAGCTCCTCCATGTTACAGATCATATGGGCACAAGTGGTAAAAATCTCCACAGCTCGAGAACGAGTTCGAATACCATACACCTGGTGAAAAGGTTACGGCACAGTCATGAGATTGGAGCATGTACATACGTGTGTATCTGTGATTAGAAGTAAAACTACACCTAATCAATCCTTACATGACAGTATTTCCCTTAGTAAGATGTAATTCATTCATGAGAACACAAGACAACAGAACCATGTGAGAACCTACTGGATTTAGCTTTATATATAGGCCTTGTGTTGATCTTAATGCTTGAGGCAAGCCTAACATGGCCAATTTCTTTCTTTTTTTTTTTCCTTTCCTTTTTGTCTTTTATCCTCCTCCCGTCTTCCCCCTTTTCATCTTTCTAAAGTAAGGTCTCACTGTGTTCTCTGGACTGGTCTCCAATTCTTGGACTGAAGTGACCCTGCAACCTTAGTCTCCTGGGTACTGGGATTATTGGTATGTACTAGTATACCTCCTCTTCTTCTATTTTTTTATTTTTTTGGTGGTGCTGGGAAACAAAACCAGGGCTTTGAACTGATTAAGTATCTTACACCCCCATTCTCAGTAAATTTTTTTTTACAGTGGCTGGGGGTATATGCTAGATACTGATGGTTAGCTTTCTTCCTAGCTACTCAAGAGGCTAAGACGTGAAGATCATGGTTCAAAGCCAGTCTGGGAAGAAAAATCCACAAGACTACATCTCTAGTAGGCAAAAGAAAAAAAAATATTAGGAGCAGGGAAATAAACATTACCTATCAGGAATTCTTATCTTACTCTGGATGATTTTATTATTCACATGTGTATTAATTATATATACAATATACTGAAGATCTAGTCATGCAGTGAGGTGAGGTAGCTGAAGCAGGCAAGACTAGACAGAATACCTCAGTGGAGGCTAGAAGTAGCCATGGAGGCACTAGGTATTTAGGGTTTATAGGAGGTATGAGGTACATGAAGACACTCTTCAGCTATTTTACTCTTTTATCACAGGCTTGTCCCTATAGTCAAGAGTGAACCCTATGGTTAATCCCAAATCTGATCCAGATCTTTGTCAGTTCCAATCCTCAAATATGGGGCACAGTGGGGAACACCATCATCTTCCTTCCAACTTAGAGGTAGAGGCAGACTAAAGGTTGAACAGCTCTTTTGGTTGAAATCACAGAGCTGAGATTTCATACCTCAGCCATAGTGAAGATCTTATACATCTCTGGAAGAATGACAGGAGCAACAAGTGGCATCTGTGTGTCTGTTACTTCTCGGGTGAACTCTATAAAGACAAAAGCACAAAAACTACTGTTTCATAAAGACATTAAATGTGAAACCTCTCAAACTATTTCTCAGTGCTAATTTCCAGTCAGCACAGAATAAAGTACATGGGTTTAGGCAAACTAGAGCTGCTCAGCCTCCTGAATAGCCAGCAGCTCCCAGTTAACTGGGACATTTTTCAGACGCATAATAGCTAAAAGTGCAATTGGTTTTCTCAAGGTTAATATACCCTACAAATTTGGGCACTATGAATCCCTACAAATCAAATGAAGATCAAATACTCAAGGCTGAGTTTTATTTACAAGCTGTGATTTCTTCTTAAAGAATAAATTTTGATTTTAAAAATTTAGATATCTAAGGGGATCAAGTATGTTAGCTAGCATAACCAGGGTAAGTAACAAGCTTTATGAAGAATATACTATAGGACTGGAATATAGTTCAGTTGCAGAAAGCTTGCTTAACGTGTACAAGTGCAGGACAATTATTAACTTAGAAGTCTGGGGCCTCTGCTCACTGGAAAAGAAAGGGAATCCCACATGAAATTAGAACACAGTAACCCATGTGTAGTGATATTTGAAGGTGAGGGAAATATGGGTCACCTTTCCCTATGCTTAGAAAAAGAACTATTACTAATAAAAGAGTAATAATTCGCTTTTACTAAGTAAAGTGACTAACCATTCCCAGTTGTATCAATTTATTCATACTTTACAGGTTTATGCTCAAAATAAGGTTTTCTGAAGTCATTCGGAAACCCAGAAAAAGTTTGAGACACCAATAACACCTCAAATCTCCAAAGTTTTTTTGAGATTAAAGAACAAGCTTAGTTGGGTGCTGGTGGTTCACGCCTGTAATCCTAGCTACTTAGGAGGTTGAGATCTGAGGATCATGGTTCAAAGCCAGTCTGAGCACGAAAATGTGTGAGATTCTTTAGCTGCAATAAACTACTCAGAGAAAGCCAGAAGTGGGGCTGTGATTCAAGTGGCAGAGTGCTAGCCTTGAGCAAAGGAAGTTCAGGGACAGCTCCCAAGCCCAGAGTTCAAGCCCCAAGACCAGCAAAACAAAACAAAAATTTGATCTTGTGGATCAAATACTTCTATTCTTAGCTTCTATGTCTGAATTTCCTTCATACCATAAGACTAAGTTAGTTCACTTTTATAAGTAGACAAATAATTGGGAAGCTTCATTGGGGGAGTCACTCTAAAGATACTGGCATGTTTCTGTAGCCCCAGCTACTTGGGAAGCTGAGGTGGAAGGATCACTTGAGCCAGGAGTTAAGCGGCCAGCTAAGTAAAATATCTCAAAAAAACAGAACAAACCAAGAGAACCCTGAGGAGAATGAGTCCTATCCTCTTCAGGGGCTCATGACCACACACTGGTGTTCTGGTATCTTCCTTCATGCTGCCTTTGCTTCTGTGGTTGTGGGTGGGTAGTCTGCCTCCTTGGAAAATATTTGGGATGAAGGTTGGTGACTTTCCACATTGAGTCTGATGACTCAATTGCAAAACGATAATTCCCTACCAGTTCCTTCCCTTGGCTGACAGCAAAGTGCTCTCACTGAACAGTAATTTCCTTAGTCAAGCACAATGAGGGCTCTGTCCTTATCAGGACAAATGTAGATTTTTCTCCTCCAGGTCTGTCAAAATGAAGCTGAACTTTGTGGAAGATCATGAACTAGCTTCCTTTTGTTGGGTAGAAAATATATCTTTTAATAGATACTCTGGCACCAGGAGGTAAATAATCATGAAAGTCCAACACTATAGTGAAGACTTTGTCAAGTTTTTTTTGTTTTTTGTTTTGTCAGTCATGGGGCTTGAACTCTGGGCCTGGGACCTGTCCCTCAGCTCTTCAGCTCAAGGCAAGCACTCTACCATTTGAGCCACAGTGCCACTTCCGGCCTTTTCTGCTTATGAGGTACTGAGGTTTTGAACCCAGGGCCTCATGCATGCAAGGCAAGCACTCTATCACTAAGCCACATTCCCAGCTCCTAGACAAGTGTTTAACTTAAATTTTATCGTCAAGGTGATGTACCTGGGGGTTACAGTTAATATAAGTAAGGTATTGAGTATATTTCCTGTAGAACTTGTTACCTCTTCCCTCATTTTTTTTCCATTTCCCCTTCCTCCACTCTCCCCCAAGTTGTACAGATAATTTCCAACATACTGTCTTGTGAGGGACAAGTGTTTTACTCGAAGTATCCCTCAGTCCTATATGCTGTGATCCCCCTACTTCTTCCTCCTGTGTGGCTGGTTTATTATTTGACTGTTCTTAATTTTACCTTGGCTTATTAGAAATAATGTCATTTTAAAATTTAAATTACCAAAACAATTTTTTGAAGTAGACAATTTTAGCATCTTAGAAAGCAGAGTAGATGAAGGTCAGAGTAAAGCCAGAATATGAACCTGAACTAAATCACTATGCTTTTCTTGTATTTTTTTCTTTTTGTCAGTTATGGGGGCTGAACTCTGGGTCTGTCCCTCAGCTCTTCAGCTCAAGGCTAGCACCCTACCAACTTGAGCCACAGTGCCACTTCCGGCTTTTTTCTGCTTATGTGGTATTGAGGAATCGAACCTAGTGCCTCACGCATGTGAGGCAAGCCTTTTACCACTGAGCCAACTTCTCAGCCCCTGCATTTTTCTTTTGGTGCTGGGCCTTATACTCAACACCTTTGTGCCTGCTAGGTAAATATTCTACCACTGGACTATGTTCCTGGTCTGGTATCTGCAAGTGTGAGGTTTGAATGTAGAAGGAGTACTGTGAGACAGTTCCCAGACAAGGGAGCTGGAGGATAGAGATGGAGTCAGATTTTCAGAAAACCAAAGGAAAGAACAGCCTCCATAATTAATCTTGCTGGTCTGGGCCACACTGTCCTAGTCTATTAGTGTCCTTGCCACTAGGACCCAAGAACCAATACCAGGGAAGAGGCTTCTGGTACCTGTCAGCACTCGCATGGCTCCATGGACAGCATTTAAGTCTCCGCTCACCAACATCTCCATGAGCAGGTTGAAGAGCTGGGGCCAGGCTTCAGGCCAGTCCCAGTGGGCAATGGCTGACACTGCATAGGCCACACTGGAGCGCACTTTGCTTATTGATTCTCTCAACCCATTGGGCAAGAGCTCCCGGATAACAATTTTTGCCTGTAGAGAAGGAAAGTCAATGACCATTAGATCACATTTTAAGTGATGGGCAGAGCCCAGTCCAGTTTGGAACTATATCAGAGAAACTATGCACAAGAAACAGATCACCAATAGGAAACCCCCATACAAATAATCCATTCAGGGTTCATCTGTAACCTCTGAACGTGCCGTTTATTAAAGCATCTGTGGCGACAGGTGGCCATCTCAATTAAAAAAGAAAATTCAGTTCCTTAGTTGCAGTGGCCACATTTTAAGTGCTCAAGAGCTGTAGTAGCTCTCATACTGGACATCACAGATGCAAAGACTCCAATTCCAAAGTCTTGTTCTAATCTTGTATCTCCGTATTTCTTGGGGAACTAAGACAGTTGTATAGTACAGCAGTAAATAGAAACATTGTTTCACTTAATTCTCAAAAGACTCTAGTGAAGTTGATATTTTAATTCTAACTTTAGAAATTTTCCGTATTTCTTGGGGAACCAAGACAGTTGTATAGTACAGCAGTAAATAGAAACATTGTTTCACTTAATTCTCAAAAGACTCTAGTGAAGTTGATATTTTAATTCTAACTTTAGAAATTTAGAGGCTCGGAAGCTAAATATGTTCCCAAATACCTCACAGCCTGTAAAGGGCAGAAATGGAATACAGGTTGATACTCAAACTCTCTTACCTACGGCATAGAACCCATAATGCCAGCCATCAATCTCCTTTTCTGTCTTGTCCTTTCTGCTCCATGTGATCAAAGAAATTTGATAGACTAATCTATGTCAGTCCTCATGTAGGTAGACTAATAAAGAAACTGTCTTTACCCTTTCTGTAGTTTCAGGAGGCCTAAATTTCTCTGATTGGGCACACCAGTGAGTCTCCACATACTGCTTCAAGATGACTGATGCCAGCTGTGAAGAGAATAAGCCAAGAAGTGCAGCAAGAAACAGACTTACTTTTTTTCACACATAAAAACCACATACATTGCTTGATACATTTGAATCATATCTAAATCTGGTATAAAAATCATGGGCTATTTATAAAATGGCCTTATTTTTTTCCTTCCCATAAGAAAAGTTTCATTATCAAGCAAAGGGAAATAAGTTAGAAGCTGGGTCCGTCTGGACTTACCTGACGAATTGCCAGTGCCCCCTGGGGATCTACGGTCAGCTCTGCCAAGTGAACTCCAAATTCTGAAAAGAGAAAATTGTACTGTGAGTCTAAGAGCATTTAGAAAAGCCATAGCAATTTACTGAGCTCTAACTGTGATGCCAACAACCAACTTCAACGATTGCTTCTAAAAGTGCTGGTAACTGCTAAGGTTGATTCCCTTCAATAGAGAAACAAATGGCCATGCAGAGCCTGATTTCTTGCCACGAATAGTCCCAGCACCCTCTCATTCTCTCCAGTTGTTGTATGGCGCCTTCCTGCTAGCTTCTATCCAAGATGGTGACCCTCTCCTCTCAGAAAAATGAATGTAGTAAATGAAAGGAAACTGGGACTCTAACTCCAAGGAGAACTTGAAAGACTGTGATTTCAGGGGTTTCCTAGATATATAGTAATCAGATATGAAATGACTAGGTCTGAGACAACTTGGCTTCAATGAACATCCTAAAAATACAAGTACTGCAAATAGTACTCTTTGTTGGAGGCATTTTGCTGATAGGGTTACATTATGTAGCCCAAGCTGGTCCAGAACTCACAATCCTCCTGCCTCTGCCTCCTAAGTGCTGGGATTACAGAAGAGCACCACCATATCAACAACAGTAATCTTGAACAGCCTATTGAGAGGCTGTAAACTTGAAATATGGATCTAATTCCAAATGAATCAGCTATTTTTTTTTTAACTCTTATTCATGAAAGGAAGAAGAATGAAGGACCAGGGTGCCTCACAATTTTCACCTATCTCCTAAACTAGGTACAATATTGCCTAATACGACAGCCATCAGGACATGGGCTGTGTGTGAAATATGGTCAATGAGAACTGAGATGGCTGTAAATGTAAAAACACACCTCAGATTTCACATTTAGGGAAACAAAAGCAAAATATCTTCATAATTTTTGCACTGTTTATATGCTGAAATAATACTTTGCATACATCAGGTGGGCATGATGGCAAGCTCCTGTAACCCTAGCACTTGGAAGCAGAGACAGCAAGACAGAGTTTGAGGTTAGCCTGGTTTATATGTGCCTTAAAACAAAACAAAACAACTACAAAACATACAGACTCAAAGCAGGCACTGGTAACTCACATCTGTAATCCTAGTGACTCAGGGGACTAAGAGCTGAGGATCTAGGTTTAAAGCCAGCCTGGGTAGGAGGGTCCTTGAGATTTTTATCTCTAATGGTAGAGAACTAGCCCTTACCAAAAAAAAAAAAAAAAAAAAAGCAAAAGCAAAAAAAGCTCAAGGGCAGTTCCCAGGCTCTGGGCCTGGAACAGAAAACAAAAAAGTACAGACTCAAGACTTGAGCAATTTTAGGTTCAAATCCTGAGTTACCGTGTTTGTTTATATGTAGGCTGACTTATCCTCTTAACTCTCAATCTCCTCATGCACCGAGTAACAATGGTGTCAATATATCACACAGTGCTGTGAGGCTGCAATGACTCACACAGTGCTTAGCACAGTACCTGCCACAGAGTAACAACCCGAAGGAAAAACAATTACTTTTGCTGTTATTATTTTTACTGCTCATCCTGAGTACACTGTTCAGCCTTTCCTACCTATGTAACTTCAGTTATTCTGACTAAAATTTATGCAGAGGTTTTACAGTTTGAACAAGAATATTAAAAGTGACAGCTAGTCCTGCAAGCACCCAGGGTTGATACATTGTATTACTGGAGCTATCAACCTTGATTACTCTGCAAGGTCTGGTCTGCTGTTCGTCTGCCATAAATATTTGTCTGCTTTTCCCTTTGTAATCAACCAGATTCTCACTCACTGATTTTAGCCTCCATCTGTGAATGCTGCCTGCAACAATCATCACGTGGCTGCCTGCTTAATGCTGACTCTGCATTTCCTTTATTCACTTACTTGCTAGAGTTCTCCTATAAGGAAGAACTATCTCTTCTTTATTCAATTATTCATTTTCATCAGTATAGAGTCATGTTGTTTTATGGGTTTTAACCCAATACTATTACTGTTTATTTTATGGCTCAATTGTTCTAGCTTGGTCATTGGAACTCTTCTCAGTTGGCACTCGAGTGTTCCACAGACCCCCATCCTTTAGCACTTCCTGAAATGATCAGATGATCTAGGCTCATCTTCTATTTTCTCTGCCCAAACCCTGGGATCAAGTTCTCCATGGGATCAAGTTCTCCAAGAAGCCAGTGTGCTCCTCTGAGGAGAATGGAATTCAGAAACCAAGATATAGAAACTGGGTATGCACAGTGGTACTATTCTTAGGCCTTTCTAGAGAACAGAGCTACTAAATCAGAACACTTGCAGGTTCATCCATTACAACTCAGTTCACATTATCTGTAATATATTTATCTGTCCAATTTTAGAATATAAATTACAGAAATAAAGGATCTATTAACTAAAGTATAATTTCTGTGTACAGTTCTTTTTGATTTTAGCTAGAAAATAATCAAATACAATTCTCCAAAGTTACTTAAACTAGTGGGGTGCCAGTGGCTCATGCCTATAATCTTAGCTACTAAGGAGGCTGAGATCTGAGGATCATAGTTCAAAGCCAGAAAGTCCCTGAGACGCTTATCTCCAATAAACCACCATAAAATGGGAAGTTACACTGTGGCTCACCTGGTAGAGCGATAGCCTTGAGCTGAAGAGCTCAGAAACAGTGCCCAGGCCCAGGATTCAAGCCCCAAGACCAACAGACCAAAAAAAAAAAAAGTTACTTAAACTAGTTCTTTTGTTCCTCATCCCCCAATAATGTTTATATTATTAATTTGTAACACAGGTTCATTTGTTAATCTTTGTGTCCCATTTTGGGTTCAACCTTACAGTTTGACTTCATCATTAACGTTTGGATATATGTGAACCACTACTATGATTCTCATAGTCAAAACTATACCAAGGCTGTGCCATAGTCAAAAACTATATATTCTAGCCAGATACAAGTGGCTCTCCTGTAATCCTAGCTACTCAGGAGGCTGAGCTTTGAGGATCAAGGGTCTTTTGAATTTATCTGCCTAGGCAAATCTTAGCCTCAGATCTTGGCCCCCTTAGTAGCCAGTATTAGAGGCATGAGCCATCAGCGCCTAGCAGTCTGAGTTTCCAATAATATGGTAAAAGCATAATTTTTAGATTATTATTGTAAGTTAATATTAAAAATTCAAAATAGATTTTCAATCAGACAGTTAAAAGAGATACTGAGAGCTGGGCACCAGTGGCTTATGCCTGTAATCCTAGCAGCTTAGGAGGCTGAGATCTGAAGATGTAGTTTGAAGCCAGCCCAGAGAGAAAAGTTCCCACGAGACTCTTATCTCCAATTAACCACTCAAAAACTGGAAATGGAGCTGTGGCTCAAAGTGGTAGAGCACTTGCCTCGAGCAAAAGAGCTCAAGAGACAGCACCCAGGCCTGAATTCAAGCCCCACGCCCAACAACAACAACAAGAACAATAAAGATACTGTGAAATAAAATAAGACTTTTGTGAAGGGGTTGAAAGGAATTGAGACTATACAGTTTAAATAAATTTGAACCACTGTCTTTCCTATGAAAGCGCCAACACTCCTCATTCTAAGGTCATTCTAAGGGGAAAGCAACAATGTACTTTCCATCAGTCCACACAGCACCATCAGAGGATCATGGGAACACAAAGAGCAGGCAAACTTTACACTTTGGTGGTCCTTTGTCAAGTCTACTTTTCAGAGATAAGCATGACTTGGATTTATTGTCTCCACATCTGTGTCAGGAGAACACTGGACTCTGGTGACGATCACAAGAATGGGGATCTCTTCTCTCCAAAATAACCCCCCAAGCCCCGAATTCCACAAACCATCTAGACTGTAAGGGATGGCAAGTATAAGAGACCATCAGAATACTAAAACTTCTAATGGAAAGAAGAGAGGAAAAGTGAGCAAATGCAGTCATTATAAATTCATTGCACATTTATAAAAACAGACCTACACAACTTGAGGGTAGTGAAAATGGAGAACACTAGAAGGGATAGCATTGATCAAGATGCACTGTATTCTGTCCAAAGAGCAATGTACTTATTACTTGACTTAGGAAACAGTAACTCCTCCGTGCAATACCTTAATAACAAGACAATTATATTTCAAAAAGATACACTGTATTCATAATCTGATATATGGAATTGTAGTTTCTTTGCATAACCAACTAATAATAATAAAATTTCTGATAGGTCAGAGTTCTATGCCAGGCAAAGGTCTTGACGTACAAGCACTTATGCATGGATTTTCTCTAAAAGTTTAGAACCTTTCATAAGAAGAAGCCTGAAAGCCAGGCACTGGTGGTTCACACCTGTAATCCTAGCTACTCAGGAGGTTGAGATCTGAGGATCACAGTTCCAAGCTAGCCCAGGCAGAAAAGTCTGTGAGACTATCTCCAATAAACTACTCAGAAAAAGCCAGGAGTGGTGCTGTGGCTCAAAGCAGTGGGGCACTGGCCCAAATAAGCTCAGGGACAGTGTCCAGGCTCTGAGTTCAAGCTCCAGAACTAGCAAAAAAACAAAAAACAAACAAACAAAAAACCTGAAAGCCTCATCACAACATGAATGCCCACTCAAGAGCCTTATCAGAAAGAAAATTGTTGACGAACATCATTACTGTTAAATAAGACAGATTTTAAAATAGAATGAACAGAATATATCAACAGTTTCCCAAAGCTTCAAATCTGACAATCTCAAATTCAAAGATTTAATTTGCATTAGGCTAGAGTGGACATTAGGGGAAATATAAATTATCATCACATGTAACTCAGTTTACTCTGCGTAGACAATGTATGCATTAGAAACACAGGTATCTAGTCACCACTGAGGGGCATGTTTTAGTCAAGTTACTCCTGTACAATGCTCATTTATGCATAGTAAAACCTCTATTTAAATTTTTTTACTTCACAGAGACTATACATTCTCTTTTTGGTTTTAAAGCTGTACTGGAGGTTTGAACTCAAGGCCTCACACTTCGCTAGGCTTGTGTTATACCACTAAGCTGCACTTCAGCACTATGCAAACTTTTCTGAAGTGCTGTTTTAAGTAGATCTGTA